TGTAAGCTTGGCGCAGGGGGAGTTCTGGCTGTTGATCAGATTGCCGCCAAGTCCCCGACACCCTGAGAAACAGCAGGTCGTGACTGCTCCAACACCATCTGTTTTGGGGACTGTTTTTAGTCTCCTCACATTGGCCAGAAGCATTCAAAAAACAAGAGCAGCTGGAGAAAGATGATTTCCTTCCTGCCTTCTTTCTGGCTCCAGGATATGGGAGTTGGTAGACACACCATTGGAAGGGAAGGAAGAGAGCCAGTGTATCTATAGAGAGAGAAGGCTTGGTCCTCAGCCCCCAAGTGGGTGCAGAGCCTCCCCTTATAACCCCTAAACTGTGTTCCACGCCCTAAGCACAGCCAAACCTGGGCCAGACTCTTGCTGGCCTTGACGCTCCAAAGGCCCGGCTGACTGACAGGCTGGCTTCTTGCACCTCCAGCCTCAAATCCCTGGTTTTTAATGAATGTGTATTTCTGTCTGTAACTAAAATCAATGCAACATGTTGGATCTTGAGAATGGCAGTAATCTAAGGGCCCTGAGAGTGTGGGCTGCAGGGTCAAGAATAAAGACCTCTGAGCATGTTTACTTGATACTTGTGTCTTGGCCTTCCTTGGACATGGAACAATTAAACTGGTTTGTCTGGTGCTGGGGGGTTGGTCCCTGATCTCTGGAGGGATGCGGCTGCCAAGAGAGTCCGTATGGTAGTGTTCACAGCCACACCCTCACTGCAGTGGGAAAGGCTGTTTTGGGAGTATCAGTTGAAGATACTCACCCCTGGTCAATGCCTGGGCCCCGTACTGGGAACCAGGCACAGTACTTAGAGCTTCCTGTGAATTCTTTAAGTCCTCACAAATCCCCAAGGTAGATACATTTTTAATCTCCATTTTATATATGCGGAAAGGGTCTCAGGGAGGTTAAGTAATCGCCCAAGGTGACACAGCCAGGAAGAATCAAAGTTGCTCTCTGGCTCTAAGCCTATATAGTTTGAACCAAAGGACTAAACTAAGTCTGGCATTACTTTCTTTTCTTTTCTTGTGATCTGCGCTATTTTCCCTGTCTGGTTATAAGCCCCATGGGAGTTGGTCTTTATTTGCTGCTTATTCTCAATGCCCAACACATAGTTGGCACTCATAAAAACATTTATTGAATATGGAACAATACTGTTCCTATAGTCCTCCTTTGCCCAAATTCTCTTGGTGGCCAGCTCTCAATCCAGAGCAGATCTTAATAAAACCCCAGCACGTGCAGCAGAACTACACTAAACATAGTCAGCAGTTTCTGAGCACTTGCTTGTGCCAGGCACAGGTGGGTGCTTTCATGTGGAATATTTCACCGATGAGCACAACACTTTTGAGGTAGGTATTCCCACTGTGTAGTGAAAAGAGGCTCAGGGTTCTGGAATTCATCCACTCTCACGCATCTAGTAAGCAGCAGAGCTGTGATTGGATCCAGGTCTGTCCGACCAGGCTTTGTGTGATATGTTGCTGACCAATCAAGGACTGTCAGCCCAGAGACTGGCTGGCAGGGTAGACACAGTGGCTAGTTTAAATGAAGGGTGTTTGGGTAGGGGCTAGTTTCATGAGCAGGCATTTTTATAGTCAAAGCATTTGTGTTTGATGCCTTTGATACCCTTCAGCAATCTCAAAACCCCTGAGAAGTTAGAAAAATATAATCAGATACCAAAGACTTCTCAGGGCTTGTGTGACGATTGATCACTCACATAAAGAAAGCATACAATGCCAGCACATGTTAAATACTGGGTAAATGTTACCTCCTCTCATGGTTATTATGATTCCCAATTAGAGAACCTCAAAATAGAGGGGATCAAATGAGAGAAGGAGGGTGGGGTCCTATTGTGGACTGGAAGGTACTAATAGTCGTGAGCTATTATCACACAGGGCTCTGGAGTCAGAAAGCCTACCCAACCCTAACCGTGGCTGTGCACCTGCCCACCCAGCCCGACAGACCTTGAGCACATCTCTCCCCACTCAGAAGAGCATGTTACTTAGCAAGATGAGGAGGCGAACACAGGATCTCGTCTGTCTCCTAAACATGAGAGTGTAGCCCTTTCCACCTGGGTTCTCTGATAGCAGAGAATCCCAGGATCATTCATGCCTTTCATGATCCAAGACCTAACTAAACTAGACCAGCCTATGTCCAGGTACAAAGACAAACACCCCATCTTGACTGGTCACGGGAAAACCCAGGGCTTTTCTGTGGCTTCAGGTCTTCCACTATGGCCTGACAGGCAGGCTGCCAGTCTTTTGTGGGAACTCTTCTGAGGAGTCCTCATGGGATGGATCCCATCCAGGCTGTGCAGTGGGAGATTAAAACAAACAAAAATAACTGCCAAACCAGACATTTCAAATGACAATTTATTTTAATTAAATACAAACAAGGAAAAAAGGCACCATGGCCCATTCAAGTATTTTGCATAGATGTACAAATATTGTAAACAATTAATAGGTGGACAAGAGAGAAGAGGATCTGTTTTCCGTGAACAATCTCCAAAGAAAAAGAAAATTCACATTGCCCTAGATCCCAGACATGTACGTACACAGTGGATGGTGTGAGAGGATGCACAGAAGGGTGACTTTGGGGACACTGGCTTGGATTCTGCAGAATCCCTCTTAGCAAGCTTCCCTAAGGATGGGGCACCTTTCCAGTTGGCATTCCCTTGGGTGTTCAGCAGAGCTGTTATACACATATTCAACACAATCATAACTTTAGAACTGGTCCCCAATTTAAAATATGCGAGTCTTCCATAACCTTGGCCAAATAAGAACAAATTTGGACATAGGTGAGGGAAGGTTTTATTCAAAAGGACTATTGCAAGAGATAGCAAGGGGCTACTGCAGTATGCAGCAGGGGTTCCCACAATCCCGTAAGATCTGCAAGCATCTCAGAGCTGCGGCAGAAAAGGGTCTTTACAGGGAGAAGTAAGCAAGGCTAAAAGGACCTCATGGCAGGCAAGTAGTCACAACCTGGAGCCAGGCACCGGGGATAAAACTCTGAGACAGGGGGATGGAGGTGCTAGCTCCTTTGTCCATCTGAACAAAGTGCTGGTTCCCTCCACCCAGCTCTAGCCGGGCTCCTCTCCTCCCCACCCAATTCTGAACTTGGCCCCCCACTCAGCCTGAGTCTGCACAGGACCCCACCGCAGCAGCCCCTTTCCAGGGAGGCTGAGCTCAAGGACACCCCAGGTGCAGTTCTCTCTGGCTAGGTTTGCTCCAACTGTTAAAGGAAAGGCCTCTCCTTTCTGAGCTTTGAGATGCTCGCAGATCTTGTGGGAGCTCACCTGAGCCTTCTGCCTAGAGCCCCTGCCCTAACTACAAATTCCCTTTCCGCCACTTTGCAGTAATCCTTTCCAATAAAGTCCCTCTTAAGGCCGTATTTGCTTTTATTTGTCACCTCAAGCAGCACTTGGGCACAGGAGAGAAAAGGGGAGTGCTTGGTGGTTGCTCCTGCTCCCGGGCAGCCTCTCCGGCCTGCCAAAATGGCGACTCCTGGTCCCTGAGCGCAGTCAGAAGTGAGACAATAAATAGAACCGGCTGCCAAAAGTCTCCATCAGATTTTAAAAATTCAACCTTCTTCCAGTTCACAGTACAATTTTATGGGATGGAGGTGCTATTAAAATAACAGAAAATATAAACAAAAAAACAAGGAAATATAACCCAGGGCTTTTTCTGGCATGGGTGTGGGGAGGGTGGATTTCAAGTTCAAAAGGCTCCTGCAGCCAGAAGGGCTGCGCCATTTTCACTTCTGAGCCTTCCACCTCCTGATGTATGGGACATACCACAGGAACGTCTGTGAGGCATGCATGTGGGCATAAGAGTGATTTGTTTTTTCTTAGAGTGTTTTCACCTTTACTTTTCTGGAACCCGACCTTAAGGCCTGGGGCGTTTGCAGTAGCACAATTATATGGAAGGCTGTCCCCTGACCTAATCAGGTAGCAAGGAAGGTGGAAACTGGTTATGGGGATCAACCAGGGCCCATGTCTGGCAGACAGAGGCAGGATTATCAGACTACCTGAGGGAAAAGAGCCTCATTTTCCTGAGATCTTTCTAAATCCACCCCATGTGTGTCCCTGGAGGCATATCCTAAATCTCCTACTAGTCTAAAACCCGAGAACATCTATTGAGCACCCGTTGTGTGCAGAGAACTGTAAGGGGGCCCTGGGTTGGTGGTTGAGAGTGAGAGCTCAAGCTTCTTCCTTGAGGTTTTCAAGAGTGAACAACGGCTCACTACAGGAGGTGGAGACAGCACAGCACCCTTCTGGGGGTGGGAGACCATCACCAGAGAACATCTCCAGTGACAAGTTGTCCAATTGAGCAGAGCACCACATAGCCTTTCTTCCCTGCTCCATAGCCTTCATATGAAACCAAAAAACTCTATTACCAGGTGGTAATACCCACTGGAGTGGCATTTCCCCAGCTGCTCCAAGTTCTTTCTGTAAAGGTCAGATGAGGGCAGTGACCAGAAGAAAGAACACAAGGAAGTGGATGATAAAGAGCCTGGTGGCCCCAGCTCAGACTGTTCCATCAAGACTGTTGACTGCTGCTTCTCTACAGATCTCTAGAGACAGGTCAGCTCCCTGCTCAGAAGGCAACGATCGTGCCTCAAATCAGTGACCAGACCTAGGAACAGGCTAGGGTTCTGCCCTCTTTGCTGCCACCCCTGAGGACCTTACTTAGATTTCCAGCAGGGAGTAGGGGGTAAGACCGTCACTCTACGGAGGTCACAAAACACAATGGCAAATAAAGCTTTGACTCCCAGCCATGGCCAGTGGATGCTCTTGAGAACCACATGGGATATCCAGTGGCCAATCCTTGAAGCAGGATCCTCACATGTACGTCACAAGCACCAGGACTCCAGGAGGCTGGGCTGGGACCGCTGAAGACCTACTCACTGCAGCACCACACATTAGGTAGGTCTGAGCAGGGAAGAAGAAATTTCTGAAGGAGAAACCAAAAGTGCCGAGCACACTTGGAAAGAGAAGAAAACAAAAGGCAACCAAGAATGATTCCATTGAGAGCCGCAACCTTTGGCATTGGCTCAGAGGAGGCCCAAGCCTGGTGCTCCCTCTGCTGTCTATACTGCCCACAAATAGTACCTGTCAGAGTCAGGGGCACCCGTGTGAATCAGGGGAGTGGGGGCTTGGGGGGAGAGAAGGGGAGGGGACTTCTTTTGTTCACATGTGGCCACAGAGCCAGGAGTGGTAAAGTCAACCGAGCCCTGGGCAGGGCCACCATGGAGGCTGGTTTGACCCCTCTAAATCACAGAGCTAAAAAGGATGAGTAAGTGTCCACCCTCTGTCTAGCTTGGGACCTTCGAGGAAGACAGAGGCAATGGCAAGCTCTCATGCATACCCTCCACCAGAGGTCATGAATGGATGGCTTCTCCAAGCTAAGTCCTGGGCTGAAGGGCTGAGCAGGACCTTTCCCAGTTGGGTTTACCAGCTTTGACAGCCCAGACCATCCCCACTGACACCTGGGAGGTGACAGGCCAGCCGAAGGGAGGTTGGAGGAGAAGCTGCCATTCATTCTCTTCCGTGCTCTCCCCTCCCTTCCCCGGGGCAGTATATTGCACAAAACACTATGATGCCATTGGGTAGTAGTCTCTCTGGGCCTCCAGGGAAGCCAAGGAGTCACTGAGTCAAGATGGAGATTTTCAGAGATGCGGTCGTTCTGGGAGGAGGGAAAGCAGGGAGGAAGGACTTGGAGGTGGCCAAACATGCTTGTTCTGGATTCCATGGCCATGGATCCTCTGGGGGTTTCAGAGTCCTCAAGGAAGGGCAGAAGCTCCTTTAGAGGGGTCTATATCTTCGAGCCAATCATCCCCCCAGCCCTCTGTGGTCTGTATTCAGGAAACTGGGAAGAAAGAGAAGAGAATGAGAGATCAGGTAAATGCTGACCAGGGGAGTCAATGGGAGCCATCCTCTTGCTTTTGACAGGGTCAGGAGGATAGACAGACTGTTACCTAAGAATGGCTCCCTGTGGAGGTCTGTCACCCTGTCTGTGCGTCCAGACTATCAACTCTCTAGTGAGAGGCAAGGTGGTGGCCTCAACCCAAACTACAGCTCAGCCCATGGATTTCACAGGCCTGGTGGGAACCGAGGGTGGTTGGCCAGCTTCCTTGCCTCCTCCCTCTGCCCTGACTGCCGGACTAGCAGCTTGAGAATGTCAGCCCCAAGGAAGAGGTAAGAAGAGGGGCCATTTGGGGGGAAAAAAAAAAAAAGAGGGGCCATTTGTAAATAGAGTACCCAGGTCAGCAGTTTATATAAGCTTTTTGACCTTCACAGCAGCCTGATGGGGCTGGCCATTGCTGCTTCTTGCTGTCTCTTTCCAGAGAAGGAAACCAAGACTCCAGACTGATTTGCTCAGAGCAATTCAGTGAGTCAGTTGTAGATCTAGGTTGGAAGCCACCATCGTTCAGGCACCATTGCTTGGGCTCCTAGGTATCACCTTTCATATGAAACCAAAAAACTCTAACCCTAACTTCAGGGATAGTCATGCAGGCACCAAAAAACACTAAGCTTTTGTCTTTGATTTTTGTTCTAGAAATTCACCCCTGCAAAAAGAAGCACGAATCTGTTTTCTCAACCACATTCTTGCCTCCTGGAGCCCTCTGGCCCTAGTTTATACCTTGATGGCTTCCATGGACTCACCTTTGGGACAGGTGCTCCCAGAGGCCGGGGCTGCAGAGGAGTGGTGGCGGTGGGCTGCAGGATGGAGGTGCCCCCTGGCCTGGGGAGGCTCTTGCGCCCTGGCACCGGGTTAGCCGGGAGTGCTTTCTGCGGTGGCCGCGGCCTGGAGAAATCCTGGGGAGAAAGCCACAAACCTCACTCAAAGGCCAGAGGGGCCTATTTGAAAGAAAATGGTCCCAACATATTACGATCAAAATCAGATGACCAAAGGGAAATACTGCAGGGTCCTATTTAAAAACAAATTGTGTGCATACATGTTTACATGTTCAGGAAAAAGCTTTTTTGGAGAGCAAGTTGGCATTATCTGTTAAAATTAGAAATGGGTCATTCTCCAATCTGATAATTCTACCTCCTACTATTTGCATAGGTGCACAAAAATAAAATTGCAAGGATGTTCCTTGCAACACTGTTTGTGACAGCCAAAGAAATTACCAACAACCAAAATTTCCATCAATAGACAAGTTAGTACAGTTAATATAGTGACAATTGAGGTGGAATTTTAAAAGAATAAAGTGGGGTATACAGGCTCAGGTGGAATGATGATTGAGAGTCATTGAGAGCTGACGTACAAGTTATGGAGGATGGTTTATGTACAGTAAGTCAACACGTGTGCCCTCCTATTCCCACCCCCCCCACTCCATAAATGTAAACGCACAGAAGAAAGTCAGAAAGGATACGGACCAAATAGATAACAGAGGTTAGGGATGGGGTGAGTGGGGAGGGGGTCATCCAGGGGAACATTCAACTTTTTTAAAAAATATTTATTTGGGAAAAGAGAGTGCGCGTGCACATGTGCACACGCACACACACACAGGGGGAGAGGGAGAAGCAGACTCCCCACTGAGCAGGAAGCTGACATGGGGCTTGATCCCAGGACTCATGAGACCATGAGTTGAGCTAAAGGCAGACACTTAACTGAGTCACCCAGGAGCCCCATATTCAACTTGAGCCCCGCATTCAACTTTTTTAACAAGAGCATATAATATGTGTATTATTTGAGTAAATAAAAAAAAATTTTAAAGAAGAAACCACATTTTCTGTATTCATTTTCTGTGGGTGGTGCCATTAACGGGATTCTTCCCTTTGTGCTTTTATATTTGTTTTGTCACCTTCTCAATAAGGTCTTCCTTGACCACCTTACTTAAAATTACAACACCCCCACCCTGGCATTCAGCACTTTCAGACCCTTTAATCCCAATCTACTTTTTTTTTTTTTAGAAGGGGGCATGTATATATCACTTTCCTTCTTCCAAAATACTGTACAACTTACTTATTTCTTCTTTTCTACCTCTCCACCCCCCACAAGACCAGAAGCAGGGGCAGAGGTCCTTGTCTATTTGGTTCACTGATACAGCTCAAACTTCCAGAACAGTGCCTAGTATACAGTAAACACTCAACATATATTAGCCGAATAAATAAATTTCTGAGGGGGGGCCTGGGTATAGCTCAGTGGGTTAAATGTCTGCCTTTGACTCAGGTCATGATCCTGGGGTCCTGGGATCCAGCCCCAAGTCGGGCTCCCTGCTCAGTGAGGAATCTGCTTCTCCCTCTCTTTCTGCTGCTCCCTCCACCTCATGTTCTCTCTCTTCTCTCAAATGAATAAATAAAAAGTCTTTTACAAATAAATTTCTGAGCTACTCAAAATTCTTCAAATATGTATTTCTCTTGTGACCAAAATAACTTTTTATTTTTTTTACAGGGCAAAGAATGGCCCATGCCACCCCTCACAGCCCTAAGATGGTGAGGTGTGAGGCAGAAGCCAATTCCGGGCCCTGGGAGTTCCAGTGCCTGCAGCCCTTGATTGTCCCTCTCCCTGAGGTCACTAGCAGGCTTAACAATGGCTGAAAGGCAAGCATACAGAGAGGGCAGGAGCAAATCAGAGAAGTGGGATTTCTGGAAAGAAGCTTCTCAGCCGTCAGAAAACTGAGAGCAGAAACTATTGGTCAAAGAACAGAAGAATAACAGATTCTGTGACCAGAAAGCCATGCTCTCCAACTCTATCCCTTCCCCAAAGGACAGCGCAATCCCATAACCTTCTAGCCCAGACAGCTGCCAAATGGCAGTGGCTGCTGGAGGCCAAGACAGAGACTTTCTGGGGGAAGCAACAGCTGGGAGCAGATGTCAGGTTGCTGTGGAGAAATGCTGTGTCCTCTAGCTCCTTGCTGTGCAAAATGAGCAATCGGGGGATGGGGGGTGGGAGTGGGTATCTGGGCAGGAGCCTTATGGGCACGGCCCAGCAATACCAGGCCTTCTGGAGCAGCTTCCTGCACAGGCAATATTGCAGGGCCCCAGCTGGGCTCTATTGGGGGCCTCAGCCAGCCCTGTTTCCCAGAGGCAGAAACAGTCCCTGCACCGCTCTGGCCCACTGCTCCCTTCCTCACTCGGGGGGTGGCACCTCCATCAGTCAAGCTGCACAGACCAGACGCTGGGGGCATCGGTAACTGTTCCCCATCTATTTTCTCTCCTACACATCTCCCATCAGCTTCAATCCAGCACTCCTGCCACCCCCTGCTCCAGACTACCATCATCTCTCCTCTGGGTGGCACTTAAACCTTCTGACTGGTATGTCAGCCCCTCTGATCAGTGAGTCACACTGCTGCTAGAGTGAACCTTACACTGTTTTTTAAAACAGTTTTTTAAAAAGTTGAAGTGTAATATACATATAAAACTGTGAATCACAAATATACAACTAGATGAATAATCACAGAGTGAACACACCTACGTAATCCCTACCCAGGGCATGAGAGATTAACAGCCCCAGAAGCATCTGTGGGTCCCTCCCACTCCTGCCTAAAGTGAGCCTAAAGAGCAATCCTCGTAAATAGAAAAGTGGATCATGCCACCATGCCCCACCAGTGTGCCCTTCCCAAGGAATGCAGGCCCTCCTGATTCTCCAGCCTCATCTCATAACTCCTTGGGCCCCAGGGAGCTCCCTACCAGCATGTCCTTGGACCAGGAAAACTCTCTCCTCTCCCACCCCTTACAGCCTGCTAACTCCTACTCATCCCTCAGCTCTCAGCTTAAATGTCAGGGAAGCCTTCCTAGATTTCCCAGAGTAGGTCAAGTCCTCCCATAACTCTCTGAGAACCCCGAACCTCTCCTTCATAGCACTGATCACCACTGTAACTACACATAACAGAGTCTCTTGCCCAGCAGGATGTGAGCCCTGTCACGCAAAGCTGGCATGTGCTTTGCTCACCACTTCCCAGTAGGGAGTAGAAGCTCCTACATATCTGTAGAGAATAGAAGGGGTTACAAAGCTTCACCACCTCCCCAGGGTGGTCCAGTCACTGAGCTAGCAAGTGGTGGAGCTGAGATCTGGACTATGAATGCCCCGCAAGACAGGGTTGTGTCTCCTTCAGCTCGGGGGACCCCAGGGCCTACACCAGGAGCTGGCTCACAAGGGTGGTAGAGGGTTTGGAGTCAGACCTAGGTTGAGATCCTAGCTCTTCCACCCACAAATTCCAATGTAGCAGCCCTAAGCCCCAGGACCTCGGAATGTGACTATATTTGGAGACGGGGAATTAAATGAGGTAATTAAGTTAAAATGAAGCCATGAGGGTTGGTCCTTATTCAGTCTGACGGGCATCATGAGAAGAACGAATCTGGACACAGAGACACTGGGGCACAAAGGAAGCACTGTCAGAAGACATGGGAGAAAAGTGGCCACATCTGCAAGCCAGAAGAGACCAACCCTACTGACACCCTGGTCTTGGATTCTAGCCTCCAGGACTGTGGGAAAGTACTGTGTTTAAGCCCCCAGTCAGGGGGTCAGAGGGACTCAGGGCCTCCCGGGCTGGCTAATACAACCTCTGCCCCCCTCCTCATTTCTGCCCTCTTGTTCTTTTCCCTGGTCCCCCATCCAGTCTCACTGCCAGTCCTCCCTGCCCCCTTCCTGCATGGCCATTCTCTATCCCACCCTTGCCTCAGATGAGAAAAATGGAAGTGGCAACTCCACCTCACTGAAGAACCAAACCTAAGTGTCTCAGCCCTGTCACACCAGGACATTGCCCCATGTCCCAGGGACCCTCCCCAAGCTGGTGCCAACCCCATGGGGTCAGCTGGGCCCCAGTAGAGCCCTTCTCCATGCCCAAGAAAAGCAGTTCCAGGAGGAAAATAAGCACGTCCTTTGCCCCACTTCAGAGGACCCTTCACAACCCAGAACACACAGGACAGCTCTGGAAGGTACTATGCCTGGCCACTGCCCGGGAAATATGTCTGTCTCTGTCTATGTTGTGGGAAACTCTGCAAGAAGATACAGTGGGAGCCATCAGAGCATAGACAGGCCAGACGAAAAGGCTGTTGGTGGGGACGAACACCTCCTGGGGACCCCTGCCCCTTGACCTGCCCTCGAGTTAGTTTCCCCCAGGAAGACTTCCTGATCAGCAGAAGGAACAATTTGGTGGGATAATTTCTATGATGAGAGAAGTACAGGGGCACCGAGTCAGGTGTGTGGCAGTCAGGGAGGGCTTCTGGGGGAAGTGGCATCTGGGAAGCGATCTGAGGATGAATAGGAGCTGGCCCTGCAAAAGGAGGGAAGAATGTACCAAGCAGAAGACAAAGCATTTGCAGAGACTTCGAGGAGAGAAAAAGAGCACAGGAACTGAAAGAAGTTCACTGGGGGCAGGAGGGAGGTAAGTGGCCTGTCATATAATAGGCCAACCAAGAAGGAAAGCCTCTGTAGTTTGGGGGCTCCCTGGGGAGTAAATTTCTCCATGTTCACCATCCCCCCTTCTGCGCATTCCCTGCATTTAGCAGAATGCAGGGAATGTGGTCCGCTCTGGACTCAGAGCTCCATCTGCACAGTCATTCTCCATTGCCGGCGCCCTTAAAAACACTGCCCCTGGTCCAGGGCTGCCGAGAATCCACTTACCTGGGAGAGGATGCAATTTGGTGCAGGGGGCACTGGCCGGCTGGGAGGCGGCCTCCTGGATGACTCCCTCCTCTCCACTTGGGGCCCTGCCCCTGGGGAGTTCCTAGCAGCTCTGCTGAGGTGTGCTGGCAGTGGTGCAGGTGGCGACCCGCCGTGCAGATAGTCTGGAGGGGGCCGAGGAGGAGGCTGGGAGGGCTTCCGCGGGGTTTCGGGGGTGTTGGTCACCTATATGCATAAGACAAGAAATGCCTGAGAAACAGGGATCCTCAATATACTGAAAAACTCAGAGGTGTCCTTGTGTGTGTCACTGAGATGATAGAGGCCAAATCCCCAGGTTCCCAGAGGTCAGGTGCAACCTTTAAGTCAGAACCAATAGAATCTCTCTCGAGCCAAGAAAGTGGCTTTTATTACCAATCCCAGAGGCCCACTGAAGCTCCTAGGAAAATCCAGCAGGGTTCTGAGGGATAACAGAAAAGCAACAAAGTTCAATGGTGCGAAGCCCTTACCTTTCGCTTGCCCTGGGGCGTCTGCAACTTAAACGTTGGGTTGGCGTGGCCAGTTCCACTGTTCTGAGACACCCTGAAGGGACAGCTAGTAACAAGGATGGGGGAGAAGGCAGAGGGGGAAAGTTCAGAAAGGGTCTCGGTCTGAGTTCCCTCTGGCCCAGCATGACCAGCAAGCAGCTAAATCTCCGCCAAGTCTGCAGACACAAGGGTGTCACCAGCTAGCCACTGATTCCCTTCAGGCATAGACCCAGAAAGACGTGGGATTTAAAGTCCTCCCCAGAACAAGTGTAATTTAATAGGGGACTCGGAAACTACTCATCCCCAGGATCCAAAGGAACGAATCACTGGGGGGAAGATGGCAGCATGGCCGGCTCATTTGCCTTCTCTGCATTAGACTCACTGCCACCAAGTTTTGTTTTGCTTTGGTTTTGTTTTGGTTTTGTTATCAAGTTCTGCTTATGGAAAGCTTTATGACCCACAAGTGGACCCCAGTCCTTCATGGCACCCCATCATACCCCCATCATACCTGAACTGTTGCCTCAGTTTGGAAGGGAGCGCCAAGGGCTTGAGTTGGCCCAGTTTGTTGTTCCGTTTACAGCAGTAGTATATCAGCATAAGGACTGCCAGCACAAATACGGCCGTGAACACTCCAGCTATCATAGGACCAACACCTTCCAGAAACAGAACCCAAGTGAGAAATTTAGAAGCTGTTTGGGCCACAGCAGTGTTGTTCAAACACTGTATTCCTGATTCTTCTTCAGATATTTGATTGCATTTAATATGTATTATTTATTTTAAGTTAAGAAGTATAATGAAACGCACGCAGGTACCACTGGGAATCCACTAATACTAGCTTAAACAGTCATGTCAACTTGCTTTGTTCAGACCTCGTAATGAAGCTTCTCTAGCCACTTCTGCTTAATTGAAGAGTCCTTTTTGAGGCAATGAGCTCAAGTTCTGTTATTACTTACCGCTAGTTTTTAGCCCAAATATGGTTTTTCTGGACACAAAGCTACCAACCCAAAATGCTGAAAGACTAAGACTGTTCTAAGACTAGAAGTCTCACCAGTAACCCACAACTTCATATTTGGTTTCAGCAAAGCCACCTCAGCATTCTCATAGATTATACTTTTAAGCATACAAAATATATATACACCAGGGACACACTACTTTATCTGTTTTCTCTATTGGGATTTCTTCTCCAAAAGATTTCATTCAAGTACAAGTACTTTGCTATTAAAAAGAAGAAAGAAAGAAGAAAAGAAAGAAAAGAAGGAAGGAAGGAAGGAAGGAAGGAAGGAAGGAAGGAAGGAAGGAAGGAAGGAAGGAAGGAAAGGAAAGAGTTTGGGAACCAAAGGGCTAGAATATCTGTGATTTACACTAAAAACTAAATTTTTTCACAGGTCTATTTCTCCATTTTAAGCTTTGTTCATCCAGGGATTCTGAACTATTATAATGTGCCCCAGGCTCATGATTCTTTTTATATGGCTGAGAAGGACCCATCACCAGCCCACTGTCCAAAACTGGATGAAATTATTCAATAACCTGTGTTCTCTCTTCATCTCTCTCACCCAAGCAGTGTCAGACCCTCTCAGTAGACATGGTAAGAGAAAAAGCAACTGAGAAGCACCGCCCGCCCCCAGCCTGTCAGCCTCACCCCTCTCCCACTTGGTTCCTCCTTTTTGTTCCCGCATCTACAAAATCAGGATAATGGGGCTGACCCATTCCCTCTCTATGACATGCCACCCCCCCCCCACAAAAGTGGGCAGAGGCCACGAGCAAGCCTGGCACTCACTGTCGGAGGGCATGGGTCCACTGTCGATGCTGCCCCCCTGGCCGGGCGTGTTGCAGAAGGGCGGGGCCCAGCCCTGGAAGCAGTGGCAGTTCTGGTTGTTGTTGCAGACCTGGAGGGAGGGAGGGGAACGGATGTCAGCACCCCAGAGCACTCCGGCCTCCCACAGGCCTGCCCTCACAGGCATCGGTGCAGAGGAGCCCCAGGACCCCGGGCACACGCACCCCATGGCCATTGCACTTCTTCCCACAGCCTTCTGTTTCGAAGAACGAGGTGTTCCTGCACTGCCCCTCGAAGCAAATCTGCAGTGGGGAGGAAACCAAAGTGTCAGTCCAACAGCAGGGACACTGGTTGGCAATCAGGATGCTGGAGTTTTCATACTTGGAATAGAGAAGACTCAAAAATGTAACTCACTTCCAGTTATTTATGGCCAAAAGGCCAGGACAGGATGATAGTTAGCTATATTCAGGTATTATTTTTGTGATCATAGAGAAAATAACAAATATATTATTAAAACATTACATTTAACATAATAAATATGTTATTACATTCTACATTACTGTGTTGGCTATATGTTAATTAGTTATAATTCATATACAATAATTTAAGTATTAACCTTAAAAATAATGACGGTGATAGCAGTCGACTCTGTGCCATGTCTTATACTAAGGCTGCACATTTTTTTTTTAAATAATTTTGTTCTCAGTTAACTCTGAGATAGGTTCCCTTATTTCCCCCATGCTTTTGGACTATAGTCTAGGCCATTTCTTAAATCATATAATAATTCACAATGAAGACAGAAGTGATAATAGCTAGCCCCTCTAAGCAGTTTCCAGGGATTATCTCATTTAATCCTTACGACAATTCTAGGGGGTGGGTCATGCTATTACTAACATGCTTTACAAAGGAAGCCACTGAGGATTGGAGAAGCCAGGAAGGTGGGATTTGAGCCTGGGCATCTTCCCTCCAGAGCTCACATTTCTTATTCTCTCTCCTCTCCCCTCAGTGGGGCAGGGACTCACGTGGTTGTAGCCACACTTGGTCCCGGTCATCACCAGGCCTGGGTCCAGCATGTCACCCTCTTCCTCGGGACCACGGTAGACATGGGTACCTCGGCATCGGATCTGCCTTCCATTCAAGATGATGGTGGTGTCAATGGGCACTGCGTTGGACTCCAGGGGCCGGGCCTCAGAACTCTGACACTGGATCTTCCCACACTTGGCATCTCTGAGCCCGACAGAGAGGGAGGGAAGGGAGTGGAATCAGAGGCAAGGGAAGAGCCAGGGCTCAGAAGAGCTTCAGTCTTTCTTGACTAGGAGTGCAGGCTTGGATAGGGGAGCTCTAGGGACCCAGCACAAGAGATCTCATGTGAACTTAGACTAAGGATAGGAAATAAGATCCTTGTCCCCAAGTAGTACTAGGCCAGAGAACAGGCCTTGAGAAGTCCTCTTTACTGCAAGGACAACTGCCTGACCTGAGCAACCTGCCCCCTTATGCTCCATCCAACCCCATGCACCCAGATGCTGCAGCCAGAAGCCTGGTGTCATCCCCAACTCACCCATTCTCCCTCACTCCTGGGTTCCAGTGATTTTGGAGTCCTGTCCCATCCTCCCTCATGTATATTAACCCTGAATCACATCGCCATCCTATTTTACCTGGACACCAGAGAACTGATCTCCCTGCTTCCAGTCTTGCCCCCACTGGAGTCTAATTTCCAAACTCCTCTCAAGCCAAAGTCCAAACTGTCCTAGTCATGCATTCAAAGCTTTTCATGATCTGGTGCTTGCTCAACTGTCCAGGCTCATTTCTCAGCCGTTGCCTCTCCGATGCACCCCCACATTATGCATTAACTATACAAACTGCTACCAGCTCCTCCTACCACCCGTTTCTCTCTACTCATCTCCTGTGTACCCGCACCATTGCCCATTCTGTTCAACTAGGTAATTTCTCCAGATCTCAATTTAGGTGTAACTTACCTTGGGACCCACTAAGGAAAGGCTGACCTATTAAGTAAGACCTTGATCTAGTAAGACCAAGTTGGGTGGTTTCTCCACAGCTTTGTTATATGTATTGTAATGAAAAGTTCCATGTACTCAGCATAGTATTTGGCACATAGCAAACCCTCAACAGATAGTAGATGGGTGGATGGGTAGATGGGTGGATGAATAGATGGATGGCTGCGGGAATGGTTGGTTGAAATGAATGAATGAATGAGTGACAGGTTACTCAGATGAGGGTACAATTAGCATCCCACAAAAATGACCCAAGAGAGCTGATTCCCTACCCGACTGTAAGGTCCCAAGAGAAGTCTGACCAGCTTTCTAGGAAGCATTGCCATCCACGCTCTCCCTTTGACTTCTTTAGACTGTACATTGTCCCACAATGGGCCTGAAATTCATGACTGACTGACAATTTATTTAAAGGCCCATGCTGCTGAGCTGGGCAGGAGTGAGGACAGAGCAGAAATTGCTCGCTCACCCTTAATCTTACAGGGTTGGCCCTGCGGTCATTACCTCATGTTGCATTTCTTGTGTTCCCCATTCATGTCTTTCCCACAGTTTCCAAAGGTATCCCCGGCCACATTCACCTTCTCAAAGCAGAGATCAGGAGCAGGCCGGGCTCCTGGGTGAGCAAGAAACATTTGTCAGCACATTAGCCAACTTTTGTAGAACTCAGGAGCCCCCCAAAGTGCAAAGCTAGCCCTTGGTAAAAAATTAAGAATTTTTTGGGGGGAGGGAATGTTCAGCTTTTTCTTTCTGTACTGTTTTTGGATACCCTCAACTTCTCATCAAACCCTGCTCATAGAAAAAGAGTATATACCAGTTGTTTATACCTTACTGAAGTATTATGTCTGTGAGAGGTTTGTGTGTTTACCTTCTCTGTAAGGAAAAAGCTCTGTCTCATTTCAGATTGTAAAATAGGTAATACATGCACAAAATTTTAAAGAAATGAAATATGTCTTTATTTTTCTAAGTAGCCATTCCAGTTCCTACTTCCCCACAACCTGAAGAAGCAGTCACAATTAGCAATGTATCTTCTAAGGTAATTGTATCTCTCTATCTTCTAGATACAATACTTGTATCTCTTCTAGAGATAATCTAATAAAGAATGGCAGTAATTCTATTTACTGTTCTGTATCTTGCACTTTGGGCTTATTGTAGGTGTTTTTATTCAGTACACACAGAGTTGCCTCCTTCTTTTATTCAGCTGCAGGGTCTTCCACTACATGGGTGTACCAGGATTAATTTAATCCGTGCTACTGAAGGATATATGGGTTGCTATTGCTATCTCTAACACTGCTGCAGTGGAAATCTTTATAAATCTACCTTCACATACGTGCACAAATACCAGGATAGGATACACTTCTAAGTAGTGGAATAGAGGGGCCCAAAGAGAAATTCATATAAATTTTGATATCTTCAAATTGCTTTCCAGAAAGACTGTACTCTGTGTTTCCCCACATTCTCCACGCTACATTATCACCACTCTTACCATCATAGTTACGGTATTATTATATTAACTTTTCGGTCTTTGCCAGTCTGACATATGAGAAATCCTATATCGTAGTAGTTATCACTTGCTTCCACTTAATAGGAGTGAGGTTAAATATTTTCTCACAGCCTAGGGCCATCTGAATTTCCTTTTCTGTTCCCATGCTCTGCCCATCTTTCTGCTGGATGATTATTCTCTATTCACTCACTCTGGGAATTGAAAACATCAAGGACCTTGGAAAGGACACTGTTCACGGTCTCTCTCTCTCTGAAAGTCTACTCTGAGTCAAGGGGAGGGAGACAGGGAGTATCTAGAGAGGCCATGTTGAAGCCAAGGATCTAAGCTACGTCGAGGGCCTGACAGAGTGGAGGGCCGGCTTGGAAGTAGTGGGGTGGGAGGAGGGCCATTCTGTAGGAGGTGCCTTACCAGGACCCCAGAGCTGCTGGCACTGTTCCTGGTAGGTGAGGCACATGCCATTGTAGCAGTAGGCCTGGCCACCCTCACAGGGGGTGCCGTCCATCTGGTAGAAGTTGGTGGGGCAATGGGGAGACTTGCCCGTGCAGAATTCTGGGAGGTCACACTGCCGTGCCTGCTCACGGCACAGGGTCCCAGGAGCCAGCAGCTGAATGAACCAGACGGGAAAAACAGTCAATGTCTCGAATGCCCTCAATTATTCCAGCAAAGAACTTGTGAGCATCACTCTCGTGAGAGTTTTCCCATTTCCATTGTTCCAGAGACCGTCTTTGGCATGACCTCATTAACTTAAACCATCATCAGCCTTCTAATATGAATAATGACTTAGAGGTCTTCAAGGTGTTTTTTCACAAATGTTAACTCATTTCCTCTTCTCAGCAGTTTGAAGAAGTAAGAATAATATTTATGCAACAATTTACGCAACAATTTACAGTTTACTAAGTGTTTTAGTAATCATGGCTACTTTTGTGAAGCCCCCACTTTAGTGCCTGGTACAAATATTACCTCATTCACTTTTCATGAGAGTCCTAGGTAATATAATTATCCCTGTTTTACAGATGATGAGACCTGAGGCAGAGGAGGTTAAGCAAGGTCCCAAAAGTCTGGTGGTCAGTAAGTGGTGGAAGAGCCAGGCCCCCTAATATATACACACAAATGTGTGTAAACTAGTATTCACACATCACCTCTGAATTTACAAAGCATTTTAGCAATAATATATTCCCATTACTGAGCCAAGCACTGGACTAAGTTACACATATTGATCCCATGTGAGCTTCACAATATCCATGAGGCAGATGCTGTTATTTGCCTCTTTCTGGAGATAAAATAACCAAATAACCTGATCAATAGCACAGCCATGGCAATGATAAAGACTAAGTTTGCCATTTGAATCTTCCAGTCTCACTGAGCGGTCAGTGTTACTGACCACCCCATTTTACAAATAAGGAACCTACACTAAGATGGTTACTACGCTGCCCCAAATTGCACTACCAGGGCTTGAACTGAAGGTCTCAGACTCCAAGCTTCATGTTTCTGCACACACTTCTCTCCAGAAAATCCTTTCTGAGACTTGAACTGAGTGGACATTGTCCATGCTTATTCTCAGGCTATGGTCCAAGCGTCAAAGGACTCCCTCCTCCAACCAACCAACACAACTCCATGAGGAGATGCCAAGTCAACCCTAGAGTCAAATCAAATGGGGAGTTTCCCCAGGCCTCAGCTGTAAGAAAAGCTACATCTAAGAACAGTGTCCTCCTCTTCCCTCCTCCCAGGTGACCCCACACCACCCGCAGGGCTTTCCTAGGAGAGAAGGCAGAGAACAGGCCATGCTGAGCAGCTTGCTAAAAGCATGGAGTAGGGGCGCTTGGGTGGCTCAGTGGTTGAGCATCTGCCTTTGGCTCAGGTCATGTTCCCGGGGTCCTGGGATTGAGTCCTGCATCAGGCTCCCTACAGGGAGCCTGCTTCTCGCTCTGCCTATGTATCTGCCTCTCTCTCTTCATCTCTCATGAATAAATAAAAAAATTTTTTAGATAGATAGATAGATAGATAGAGCCTCTTGTTGCCAGGGTGGCCCTGTGTGGAGGAGGAAGACTCAGGACACATCTCTATCACGAAGGAGGATAGAGGTAGAGACGACACACCTGGAGCCAGTGTGCCTGGGTTCAGATCCTAGCTTCTTAACCAGCAGTGGAGCCTGGGGCAGCTATTGAATCTCTCTGGGATGGCACGGAATAAATGGGATAAAAACTTTCTCAAGGGATTGTTACAAGGACTGTATTCAAATAGAGCACTTCAACAGTTACCTAGCTCGTAATGAGCACTCACTCAGCAAGTGCTAGGTGGAAGCGCAGGTCCACAATTCCCATCCAAAACTTTGGGGCCAATGGGGTCCGACTTTTCAGGTTTCAGAAAGCTGACGTCACACATGTATACATACACACAGGTATGTATATACATTCATATGTTATATAGGTATATTTATTATATGACCCCCCCAGCAAGACCTGGGATTATACTTTATTATCAAACACATTAATTTTTCTACAACAAAATAGAAATATTCACTTTAAGTGTGTGTGTGTGTGTGTGTGTGTGTGTGTGTGTTTTAAAGACCATAATTATGTCAATTCAGGTAAAATTTGCTACCAGAAGAGTTAAGAAACTTTTTTCCCAGTTTTTAGAATTTTCTGAATTTCAGAATTATAGATAAGAGACTATAAAGATATAGTAAGATTAGTAGCAGTATTTTCCACAACATCAGGAGTGTAGGCTCCAGGGGTAGAAAAATGTGGTTCAGCCCCCTCTTGCTGTGTGACCTGGGATAAGCCACTTATCCCCTCTGAACTGCAGTTTACTCATCTTAAATTGAGGATATTAATATACATTTCATGGGACTTTTGTGAGGCTTGAATGAGACAATATATATAAAATTCCCTGCATAGTGCCTGCCATCTACTAAGTCCATTAATATTAACCAAAATTTTTATGATGATTATTATGAGCTCCAAATAAAATCAAGCCTACTCTACTCTCTCTGGATACCTTTTTTTTTTTTTTTTTAAGTCTTCCATCTTCCAGTACGCACAGCCCTCTGGGATGATTTGAAGCCAGGGAGGCATGGTATAGAAAATAAACTTCATCACAGGGGCCAGCCCAGATCCATGTCTCTGAAACTTTGATGCCATCACTTCCCTGGGATGGAGGCTGAATCCTGACCATCAGCCCCCAGCAGAACACTGGGCTGTCAGGTCAGAACGCTGGGGTTCTGCGGGGCGGGGTGGGCAAAGGGCCTCTTACCTTACACTGGTGACAGCAGGCGCCATGGGCACATTCCGCCCCTTCTCTCAGGGTACAGTTGGAGGCATTGCAGCACGGGTTATTACATTCCTGCAGAAGCAGAGGGAATGTCCATGAGCCTCTGGGGCAGCAGAGCAGGGAGACAGGAGTTGGGGTGGAGTGAAGTCCTTCATCCACATCCCACATTTCCCCAGCCCTCCCCCACATGCCCTTGGGGCCCAGGCTCCCTAGAAAATCTTTACCAAAAATTTCGTTTTATAGGTTTATAATGAAGGTAATGTATATTTATCACCAAAAATACATAAATGCACAATCGCCAGCAACATCACAACACAGACACAACTACATTTTGAGTGTGAATATTTACCCAGGCATTGTCCTCTTCACATATACATATTTAATTTACAAAATGATAGTATCCATACTGCTTTCTAATGTAATATAATATGTACATTTGCCCCTGCAGTCCTGTGTTCTTCCAAAACACGATTTTTTAGCATAATATTATACTATATAGGAATTCTGGGATTTATTTTTCTCATTCCCAATAGAACGTCCAGAGACCCTGTCTTCTACTGCTGCCCTTCTTGCCCTCACAGCCCCAGGCCTCTTATCCCATAAGAAAAGGCCATCAAAAGCAAAGGCTAGAAGGTCTGAACACAGTTTTTTGTTTTAAAGATTTTATTTATTTATTTGACAGAGAAGGAGAGCACACAGGCAGGCAGAGCAGCAGGCAGAGGGAAAGGGAGAAGCAGGCTCCCCATCCAGCAGGGAGTCCGATGCAGGACTCGATCCCAGGACCCTGAGATCACGGCCTGAGCCATGGCCTTCCTAAACCTTTACCAAAGATCATAAACTAACTAGCTGAAGGTAGATGCTCAACTGACTGAGCCACCCAACACAGTTGGGTGAGCCTCCCAACTGAACACAGTTCCTTAGACTGCTCTCTCCATCGGCTGCTCTTCCTCACTCTTCACTGGCTTGGACCTTTCTGAAACAGAAGGTCTTTAGGGGTTCCATGCTCTCCTCTCTTCCTTCTTGCCTTATGGGTCCTGATTTGCTGATGTACAGCATGAAATTTAAAAGATGATGAGGGGCACCTGGATGGTCCAGTCGGTTAAACTTCTGCCTTCAGCTCAGGTCATGATCCCAGGGTCCTGGGACCAAGCCCTGCATCAAACTCCCTGCTCGGTGAGGAGTCTGCTTCTGTCCCTTTGTTGTTCCCCCCACTCGTGTTCTTGCTTTCTTTCTCTCCCTTTCTTGCTCATTTTCTCTCAAATAAATAAGCAAAATCTCTAAAAGATGATGAGACACCCCAATGACCCCAAGTGTCCTTATCACACCCCTACTATATTCATAGGCCTATCTATCCCAAACCATTTCTTGACAATGCACCAGGCAGGCTCCATGCATAGGTCCATCACAGCCTTGTGAGGCAGGATTATTCCCATTTCACAGATGGGGAAATGGAGCTCAGATAAGTCCTATGCTGGTCAAGGTACACACCCAGCAAGTGCTGCACCTGAATTCAAGCCATGTCTGCTTGGGGACTGTCCCATGCTAATGAACCATATCATAACCCTAACTGTCCAGGTCTAGTGTGTTGGAGGGACACATTACATGCCTGACTATGATGCCCATCCACTTGTTTCCCCTAAGAGAAGGAAAAGGATACTTTCCTTCCATTAGTCTCCCACTATCCCAGGCTCCAGGCACACCGCGTTCCTTCCCACTTCAGGGCATAGTTCCTCCTCTCGCTGAAATGTGCTTTCTCTTCTTGTGCTCCTCAGTAACTCCTAACTTAGCCTTTAGATATGGGATCAGAAGTCACACTCCCACCTGAGTAGAGTAGCTCCTCTCATACTGCAAATGCTCACAGCACAATATCACTGGCCTTCCTAAACCTTTACCACAGATCATACTCATATACTTTTGTAATTATTTGGTCAATGTGTTTCCCCCAGTAGATGATATGCTCCACAAGGACAGGAACCATGTCTATTTTTGCTATCCATCCTATCCCTAGCACCCAACATAGTGCCCCACACTCAGTAAATATGTGCTGAACATAAGCCAACTGGCTGAGCCCACTTGTGGATTGCTCCTCAACTCCACTAGACCCTCCATGGTAAGACGGACAACTCCCTCCTTTCTGATGGGCCTAGACTGATCTCTCTGAACTCATGGTAGTGGGGATGGCAGAGCCTCTAACTAGTTTTTGTTTTATTATGAAAGAAAGTTATGTGCTGACATTAAAGACAAAAATCAGGGGCGCTTGGTTGCTCAGTCAGTTGAGCATCTGACTTTGACTTTGGTTCAGGTCATGATCTCAGTGTCGTGAGATTGAGCCCCGAGTCAGGCTGTGCACTGAGTGTGGAATCTGCTTAAGATACTCTCTTTCCCTCTCACCAAGCTCCACCTCTGCTCTCTCTCTCTCTCTCTCTCAAAAACCATGCAAAACTAAAAAACAAAAATCAAACCATAGGGAAGGTTATAAAATCAAATAGTCTTACACACACCCTCAGCCTCCCCTCCACGATTTACTGTTTTGCATATGTTAACGTGCATATCTCATCCTCCAGAAAATAGACATGAAACTATCCAGTTCTGCTTTTTTGCAAAAAATAACACACATCTGTCAAAAATGACAGCACCATGCTGCATGCCCACCACTCATTCTGAAGAGGAGGAAACAGCTTGCACACAAACAGTTCTGTTCCTTCTTCCTGCAGCAGCCCTTTCCAGACCTAACAGTATTTCCTACATCCTCTTTCAATCATCTCTTCTCTAGGCCAAGTAGCATAAGCTTATTATTTTAAGCATCCTTAGGGCCCAGGTTCAAGTTCATATATCCAGCTGTGTGGCATTGAAAAAAAAAAATCAGTGGAGCTGGAGGACAAGGAAGGCCATCTGTAACTGCCCTGGGGAGGAGATTATAGGCTTTGGTTAGACCAGACACTCACAAGGAGAATCCCACCCTGACCTGGACACCAACAGTGCCAACCTAAAACTGAGAGGGTCTGCAAAAATGGTCCACATCCGTTTGGTGACGGGGTCTTTAATAGCCAAGTGAATGTGGGAAATGCCTAAGACTCAGAAGTGTTCGGTTGCATTCTCTTTGACTTTAAGATTTGAAACCAGTGCACAATCTTCCCTTCCTGCTAGCACTACCATGCCACCTTACCTCTTCCTCCCCACAGTCACATTCTTCCCCATCTTCCAGGTAACCGTTCCCACACCTCCGGCCTCCATACAGCGTCCTGGTGTCTGGCATGTTGGAGAGACACATCCCACCGCCTGACTGCAGATACCTGTCCAGCTCCTTCCTGTTGCATCCATTGAACACTCTTGGAAAGGGATGCCTGGCAGAGAATAAGGCTGGAGTTGATTGGGAATCTGAGCAGCAAGCAGCCAGAATAGTCTTAATCCTGCTGCCTATGATGCTGATTCCACCTAGACTCAGACCCCCACCGTCTCACGCACACACATTCTGTCCTCTTAGAACATGGCTGATACATTCTCTTACAATTCTTTCTAACCACCCCATAATGTTCTTTTTTCCCCTCACTGTGCAAGGAGGTGTCTGAGAATCAGAAGCAGCAGTTTCTTCCCTTTGTAGGAAGGGGTTGCAATAAATAAAGGGTTATGAATATGTTACAATAGGTTTCCTGAGTCTTAGAGCTGAATAAAATACTAGCCAACCCAAACTTTTCCTGAAGCTTTTATCAGATGGAGATTTTCTTGGAACTGAAGACCAAGCCAAAAAAAGCCAAGATCATGGGTTTAATTTTTTCACTGGGCCAGTGATCTTATGACCTCTATTCTAAGGATGCAGGCAGCACTCCAAACTCAACCAGCAATTCACAAATGCATAGTTTCATCACCAGATTATGAAAGGTCCTGGGTTCTGCTATTGGAAAAAAAGAATCAGAAGTCATATATTCTCTAGCAGCAGGTCAGTACCACAATTTGGGTCTATAAAGGAAGAGTTATCCTGTTCTAAACCAACTAAAAGTTATACACTGGAGGTTCTCCCTTCAGTTGTCAGCTCTGTCACCAGGAATTTGTGGCCAACAATTTTTAAACTACTTTAGTAGTTTATATTTGCCTCTAGTTTAAAAACAAAATTGTGTAGTAATTAATATAACTGTCAACCACAGGACTATAAATATGCTTTTTAGATTGAAAGAGAAAGGGATGGACTTCATGGTAAGCTTTTAGGGATTTGAACATGACCCATGGAGCTGTATCCTGCACGTCAACATCATCCTTTGTATGTCACAGCCAAGAAGCAACGGAAAACACCGGATGATGGAACTCCAAGAAAAGTGCATTTCCTCTTAAAGACACTGAAATACCTTTCCCTAAGAACCATAAGTAGGCTCTAATGGTCTGGGGTAAAGGGAACACAAACTCCCACCATGATGCCTTCAAAAGAGCAACTCAGGTCTTGGGAGAACCCAATGTTCTCTGCTGTATGAGTCCAGATACTAAATATTAAGAGTTGTGGCTGTTTCGCTTTCAAAGGCTCTGGTTAAAAAAAAAAAATCCTCACAAATACAGGGAGATGTAGCTGGCTTGTTCTTATTCTCATGGTAAATTCAACCTATAAATTCCTGGAGGGGTCACTATGCAGGCATGGATGCTCCCCTTCCTTTTCCTTGTTGGGTAGGCTACATCAGAATCTTGAATCAGCACTGACCAAATTCCCTTGGGACGGAGAGACTGAAGGGTTGGGGCTATTCAACATAGGTCCTCTTCAAAAATTCAAGAAATGAAAAAGAAACATGTGGTCAGGCCAATTTTATAGCTGAGGACTCTATGACAGAAATCAAGTATATCTAGGGTTCCACCAGCACCAAAGTACCTCCTACAAACCTAATGTTCCTTGCACACATTTGCTTTCTTAGTTCTCTTTCAATTTCTTTGTTGTCAACTGCATTTCCCTCCATGGCCCCTGCAAGAGGTATAACAGAGGCTCCTAGGGCCAACTGGGAGGAACACTTGGGTTGTACTGTCCTCAAATGTTCTGCTCTCCTTGTCATGGCGCTTGACTCACCCAGTGGCAGCTGCCATGATGCACCCGCCATCAGCTGCGCTGGCTGAGCAGCATTCCGCAGAATCGTGGCTCATGCCGAAGTTGTGGCCCATCTCATGGGCCATGGTGGCAGCCACACCAATGGCATTCTCAGAGTGGTCCTGCCCAAGGAGAGAGTTAGGGTCAAGAGGGCAGCTCTCCCTACTCCCTGTTTCTGTGTTTTCTTAGCCAGGCCCCACAGCTGTCCACTGATTCCATGAACAGCACATCAGGCTCGGTGATGAAAGCCTGTGCTTTAACTGTCATGCTACATCTGTGGATGAATATAGGGTAGATAAAGGGGTGGACAAACAGATGGAGAGCAGGCCTCCATCTACTTCACAGGTTAGAAATGGATAGTCAAAACAGTCCCACCAAGCCAGAGAGAATTTCAAAAGAAGGCAGTAATTTCCTAACCATGACTTTGAGACAAGCAATTGTTTCATAATAACATGCATAAAAACAAAACTGAGGATTAAAAAATAATTTTTATCTCTATTATCTACTGTATGTTCTCCAGCCCCTGGTTTGGAACACAAGAGACCTAGCTGACATCACTAGATGTAATGTAATCACTTCCAGGGTTCTCCTGAGCTTGAAAATTGGGGATGAACTATAAAAAAATGAAAATTCACCCCTGGGTACCTCCATCTCTTAGAACTTAATGACTTCATTTTAAACAACTGCCCTACTTGATGTCAAGCTTTTTTTTCTCCCCCGCAATAATAAACATTTTTTTCCACAAGATGACCTCCTGTCCCATGAGGCAGTTTTCTGCCTTCTGCGGCATCAACATATTGGCTGGGACTCACCATGTTGACTCCTCCAGACTGGTACACGGAGCACATGGCCATGAGGGGGGCCAGCCCAATGGTGGTGCCATGGAAAGACATGCCCCTGCAGGAAGGAACAAGAGAAGGTCACTCAGGAGTGGACAGCCCTCATGGCGTTCCTTGGCCCTGCTGACATTGCCAGATCATTCCCAAGGAGAGAAACCCCGGTATTCTAGGCCAGTTGGACAACTTCCAGGTCACCACACCTCTCACTTCCTCTCACCTACTCTCTCACTGCTTCAGAGAAATGGAGGGAGCAAAAGGTCACTTTTTCCCACAATATGCCCAGAGCCCCGTTCCCTGGAAGGAAATGGGCAGTGCTCACAAAGCTGCATCCCATTCCTGCTGCAGAGGAAAAGGTCAGGGGGAGGAGCTGAGGAAAGAGTGGCACAGGTCCTGATGCTAATATGACTCATGAGCACTTCTGTCAGCTGCCAGGGTCCCATTGCCATATCCCTGGCTCTATGGTATGTGTATGGGGATGCGGTGGGGGGATTGGGCAGCAGCTGTGGGGGCTGATGCTTCATTTCCTCATCACCCTGGGGCCAAGGAAACAGATGTGTCCCATCAGGAGCCTCACAAAGTGCAGCTGGGTGCAAAGATGAGCTGTTTCTGCCTCTGTTTTGCAATTGTGAGGCAAATCTGCCAACAGCCAGCTACATTCCTTCAGTACAATGCATCCCTCTCTTAGCTGTATCCATCCAGGACAGGGGAGAGGGAATGAATAAAACACCAGTATTCTCAGGTTCCAGGCATGCCACCAACATGGAATTTACTTAAAGGCTCCACATGGAAATTCATTATGTGGTGCTTTCATATCTCCACATTTATCTTCTCATCTAGACCATGAGATGTTTGAGAGCCAAGATGACCTTATTTATTTGGGTGTCACCAGAACTTAGCATAGAATCTGACACATAGGGGGCACTCAATAAATGTTTGCTGAATTGAAGGCAGATTGTTCTTTAGAGAAAAAAAATCTGCAAAAGAACACATAAAACATATGCAAATCTCTATGAAGCCCACAGGTTATCTTATAAACTTAGACATGGCCCTGAGGAAGTCCTACTGGACACCTGGATTCAAGGTCTTGCCCAAAGCAGGACACCAACCAAGCTTTGCAAATTCAAGCAAACCCAAAAACTTCCTAGGTGAAGGTTCCACAGCCAGAGTTTGGGTACAATTATTTCCCCATTTCTTTTAAAGAGTGAACAAATGATTATGGATTCAGAGAGATATTTTTAGGGAGCAAAAGGAAAATAGCCTTACTATGTCTGTGCCTTTTGCTATAACTGTCTCAGAATACCATTGGAAGTCAACACTAAAAACATCAAATGTTCACCCCTCCCCTGGGGGAGCCTCATGTGCCACCATGATTCCCAACACTATCTGTTCATTTCTCTCCAGGACTGAAGAAATTCCAGCACAACACCCCCCAACGCCAATGTCTCCCTCCCACCAAACGCACGGTTGCTACACTATCTGCCACTGGAACCGGTTCAGGGTCTCAGCCCTGAGCCCCCAGGAACAACGTGAAGGGCAACCTAAGGAAGCCTCTCTTCTGCTACTGCTTTGGGAAATTACCATGCCTACTAAAATAAAGCACCAGGAAGACCCAAATGAGCCCCCTAGAAAGTCTGTTTGAAGGCAGCCCCCAACAGTCAGTCACTTCCCGATATACACCCAACCGTTTCAGAGGTTCAGCGGAACATTGCCTAAGTCTAATTTTCTCACCTAGATCATAAACACTTCTTGGGGCTGTTAAGACTCTTAGGGTTTTGATATTTTCCTGGGTGTACTGGGGGCAGAGCACACATCTGAGAAGTAAGTGATTATTTAGACCAGAGAGGCAGGATGGCTAGTACCACCCACTCTCAGCACTGGGGGAGGGCAGCAGACAGCACAGCACCCACACTGCAGGCAGGGGCTGTGCAGCCAGGCCCGAGGAAACGCACATGGAAAGAGGCCACTTACGTGATTAACTGTGCGTTGTCATGGTTCTTCTGGGTGAGCAGCTTGCGCCTCCAACTGAGAAATGACCATAGAGTAGAGTAGGGGTTCTCGGAAACTTCACACATATTCCCGTGAGTCCATACTTCCAAGCCCACGAGGGCAATCCGGATGTTCAAGGATCGGTAAAACTGAAAAAGCACACACGAATGCCACAGCATCATCTGTCAACACCAGGAGATTTATATGCCCCTCCCTAGCCTCAGCACTTGGAGCAGGGGCCGGATTTCTCTCCTGTACATTCCTCCAAGGGCATGGAGGCAACAGGGGCTGCTGTTCACGTTTTTCAGAAGGAATCAATGAGATGCTGAGAAAGATACACAACATTCTGGTGCCAGAGATGGGTCATTAAGCTTAGGGGAAAGAAGCCTGAGATGGAGGTTTAGGCATTTCCTATAACCAGAATTACCAGAATTACAGAATATGTAGTCTTTGTTTCTGGCTTCCTTCACTTAGCATATTTTTGAGATTCATCCATCTCATGGTCTATGTCTGTCATTATTTGTATCGCTAAATGGTATTTCGCTGTATGGAGATACCAAATTGTACAGAGATGCATTTTTGTGTGAGGTCTCCCACTCATTTTGGAGTAAATGGGTATACATAGATACACTTATTCTTGAAAGTTTCCTTTCCTGTCACTGGAGGTGTTTGGGCTTTGTCACAAAGGCCACAAACAGGTGGCCAGCATGAGACTGCGAAGGTCCCAGATACCGTTTAGAGTTCTGTCCAAACCAGAGATCCTGAAATTCTATAAATGAGACCTGACTCCCGGGTTCCTTCAGAGTAGAGCTACACCTGGTGTTTGTGATGTGGTATGTTTCACCTCGTGCACATATAAACAGGAAGAGCGTTTTCTTTAAAGCAAAGTACTACTGGGGGCACCTGGGCGGCTCAGTGGTTGAGCATCTGTCTTCAGCTCAGGGTGTGTTCTCAGGATCCTGGGATGAGTCCCATTACAAATATATGTATCTGCCAAGGTGGAGCCACTTTAAAGACTGAGTTTTGTCTTGTATCTGAAATGGATACAAGCATATGTTTAAACTGCAAGATTTTTACTTGCTAGAGAATCTGTTTTAATATAGTGGTTTGGCCTCTGATTATTTATAGGTTTTATAAATTTTAGAATCAATTTCTCTTTAAGGTGGCTCAGATTTTTCAACTCTTGTGCACATAAAATTGAGTTGACTTCATTGTGCCTTTTTTTCTTTATCCAAATTTTGAGTTAAAGCTTCATATGGTAACTGCATCCTGTTCAGACACTGTAGTCGAAATTTTTGAAACTGTGTGGTGTTCACTAAAAGTAGGAATAACAAAGTCAAAGCTAATTAAGGTCACAAACTTTGGTGAAACCCTTAAAGTCCAAATCTTCTTGATATTGTGAATTGTACTCCTTCCAGGTTAGTTTCTTCTGGACACTCTATACTCCTTACAGTTACCTTTTAAATTTTGCACACATTGAGATTAAATTGGGCCTCTACTGTGCCGATTCCTATTTCCTCTTGTGTTTTAAGTGCGAACTAACAACGTAAGTGAACATTAGCATCAAGTAGTGCAGACATATGTGTGCATTTGCTTGATTCAATTTGTTGTGACCTTATCAGTTTGGAATTGGAATTGCACCATTTCGTTGACAAAGGAAACTAAGTATATTGCTGCACTTTTAAGTTTTCAGAACAGTGTTGAAAAATTGCATTGTTTTTATTTTTTTTAAACTCAGTTAAAAAAGACTAAAACGTTCTTTCAAAAGAGGCATCTAAATGTGTTCCTAATTTTGTATATGGGCTTAGGTTTTGTAACCAATAAAAAAAGCTGCTATCAAATACGATAAAAAAAAAATTTCTTCTCCCTCTGCCTGTGCCTCTGCCTCTCTCTCTCTCTGTCTCTCATAAATAAATAAATAAATAAATAAATAAATAAATAAATACATACATACATACATACAATCTTTAAAAGAAAGAAAAAGCTAAGTACCACTGGAAGGCATAGGTTCAAAGGATTCTTTGACTGGCCTACCCTAGAGATTACTGAGGCAGTGACTCTGAAAAAAAAAAAATTGCACGCAAATCTAGGTCACATGAGCAGAAGATACCATCTTAAATCCAAAACTGGCAGGTACTGCAGCTGCTAAAAAAAACAATCGTAACATCAATGTTTATCAAGCACATTCTATGTCCCAAGCACGGAAGCTTAGAAAAGTTCAGTAACTTGCCCAAAGTCTTAGCAGGAGGATGGTGGAGCCAGGATTAAGGCCCAGATTATCAGATCAGACCCCAGAGCCACTCAAGACCCTCACTGCTTCAGTGCCGGCCTATTACACATCCAGAGACTCATCTTGCCCCCCAGAAGTTGTGGTGTAAGATGGGCTCCAGATTCAGTGAAATAGCAGTTGATTTCAAAGGAAAGTCATTTTCCCGTTTTGTGCCAGGTCAATCATTACAGAGAATAAAGGGTTTGAACTTGCTGCCTGAGGGAGCTTTTAAGGATGTAAAACTTGGCTTTTTCACAGTTAAGGGAAAACATTTTGAATTGGGTTCATGATTCAGCAAATTAGTGCCGCTCCTTCCAGTTTTACAAGTTGCTGGATCAGCAAGCCTCAGAGAAGTTGGGATTGCCTTCCTTCACCCTAGCCAGGGTGACTAAAATCAGCTGCTCAGGAGAAAACTCAGACTGCTCTCCAGAAGGGACCAGCCAGGCAAGGCTAGGGGCTTCAAATACGGTCCAGGCCATGGTATCTTCTCGCTTCCATTTTTCATAGGCACTCTTGGTTCTACCACCCAGACCAGCTGGAGAGTTCACAATGGGGAGGCCCAGCCAAGTCAGCCACCTGCTGGGTCTCCAGAACAATAGATGTCACATGGTGAGAACGGGGTCTGCCTCCTGTATACATACCCCCCAGGAAACAAGCTTTTTCTGTTTTCCCAGATGTTGAGTGTTTGGGATGTAGGATCATTTAAATGTTATTGTTGAATGAACTAAGAGCTAGAAAGACAACTGAGCTGTGTCCCTGGAGGCCTTCCTTCCAGGAAATGCTGATGTTTGACTTTCACCTGCCACTGAACACTGACCAGTGTTTCCAGAGCCATCTAAGGCAAAACAAAAACACAGACCATTAACTCTCCCATCTGATGACTTCAGAACCCTACCAAGTTTGCTGGTAAATCCAGCAAAAAAAATTTAAATTCTCTTCTTTATCTTCTGTTTTTTTTTTTTTTTTATCTTCTGTTTTGAAAAAATAATTCCCCTTTAGATTTGGGATCCATGAATCCCTAATAGGCCTAGAGTTAAGCATCAAAAGTGCTCTGAGAGCCCTGAAATTGTACAATGTTTTCAGATTCTCTCTCTCTCTTTTTTAAGATTTTATTTATTTATTCATGAGAGGCACAGAGAGAGAGGCAGAGACACAAGCACAGGAGAAGCAGGTGTCCCACAAGGAGCCCGATGTGGGACTCAATCCCCGATCCCGGGATCACGCCCTGAGCTGAAGGCAGACGCCCAACTGCTGAGCCACCCAGGCATCCCTGTTTTCAGATTCTCAAAGAGACCTGTGACCCCAAACATTAAAATCTAACTTTTAAAAACCATTTACTACTGGCCTATCAAGAGAGTACTGTAATTTAAGGTTATCTATTCTACTGCATTTTGTAGTATAAAAAATACTCCTTTTCATATAAGCAAAGTATTTCCAAGTCCTAGACCAGCCTGTTCTAGTAAAATTCAACAATTTGGGTATTTCCTAAGGGCATGTTTAAAAGGTCCTGATCTGGGAAAGTTAGCTATTCACACAGTCTTTCTAAGAGATAACTAATTTTAGAACCATTTTACAGATGGAGACTATACAGATTGGCCCAAAACAACCCATTCAACTTTTAAGGCTGTTTCTTTCCCATGCTGACCTACCCCAATCTTCCCCTAAGTCAGAAAATGTGGTCACATGAGCAGAAGATACCATCTTCAGTGGCATGTCACTCAGATTGACCATGACCAAGCAGTGCTTTCTACATTGAGAAGAATTCTGAGACTGTGTGGGGTTAAGCAGGAAAGGGTGCTGGGCTCAATTACAAATGTCTGCCACGGGTACCGGTAAGGAGACTTTTCAGTATGTAGCCTCATATTTATCATTCTTGCCTGAAAAGGAATAGATCCCTTTCAGCTGCAATGATGAAAGAAACCTTCACAGTGTAAGCTTTCTAAAAAGTGTTGATCTTTTTACCTGGAAGGAACCTTAGAGAACCTTAAAGCATTCTTAAACTGGGCTCTTCTGTGTCCTAGGTTCCCTGGAAGCCATTGGCAAGGGTGAGGAGAAGGAGCAAGAGGATAGCACTCTGGATCCTCACCCCTGCTTTAGTTTAGAGAGTTTGTCATTACCTGACTTTTATATTAGACACTGGCATAAGATTTCATTTAAAAGAAGGGTTCCACCAGGAAAACAAAACCATTGAAGCCATTGATTTAAGCCAGCCCCTCTGCTTTGTAAATTAAAAACATAACAAAACAAAACTGCAACCCAAAGAAGACAACTTACCTGGCTAAGGTCACATAGTTGAGGGCTTTGTCATGACTACCCTAAGCCTCTATGCCACTGCTATTGCCTCTCAGAAACTGTGGGGGGTAAGCAATCCATGAGGCAGCTGAGGTGCCATGTGATCTCCTGTCTAAGGTGCTGGCACCTTTCCCACAAGTACACACCTGGTCTCACCTTATCAACGTAATTGGCGATCTCCATGAGCTTGTGTTTGGTGGCGTCCTGGTCTCGCCGATTCTTCTGAAACTGAATGGAGCAAGCAGAGCTAGGTGAGGCCCCAGAACCCCTTCCTGGACCCTCCTGTGACCCATTTCTTATCTTTCAATTAGCTTTTGTTTTCTCCAACCTTCTATAAGCAGTTATTTTTATTTTTATTAGTTTTTAAAGATTTTATTTATTTATTCATGAGAGAGAGAGAGAGAGAGAGAGAGAGAGAGAAAGAAAGAGAGAGAAAGAGAGAGAGAGAGAGAGAGAGAGAGAGAGGCAGAGACACAGGCAGAGGGAGAAGCAGGCTCCATGCAGGGAGCATGATGTGGGACTCCATCCCGGGTCTTCAGGATCAGACCCTGGGCTAAAGGTGGCGCTAAACCACTGAGCCACCTGGGCTGCCCTTAAAGCAGTAATTTTTATACAATTTCTTCTCCCCTCACATACCCACTCTCCACAGTGTCAGCTCAGGGAGGGCAGAACCTGGGTCACATTCATCTTGGTATCTTCAGCTGTCAGCTCAGTCTCAGGCACACAGTAGGCATATAATAGTCGTACAGTAAACTGAGGTCTCTTCCTTTAGCCCTTGAAGTCAAACCTGTTCTCCTGTCCTCCAAATTATCAGGTCTCCTGCAAACTCTTACTGGGGCTTAGAAGTGGGACCAATCTGGTCCTTGCTTTGGCCATCACTCCAACATGAAGCCATCATTACAGGGAGCTCACGAGGCCTCCCTAAATGCGACTGATCAACATTGATCAAATCACTGCTGAATGTCTACCATGTGCGAGGCATTATGCCTGGCACTAGTATGTGAGATCCTGGTACTGGCCTAGAGGACCTTACATTAAAACAGAAAGAGAGGGGCACCTGGGTGGCTCAACTGGTTAAGCTTCCAACTCTTGGTTCCCACTCAAGGTCATGATCTCAGGATTGTGAGATCAAGCCCCGCATCAGGCTCTGCGCTCAGCAAGGAGTCTGCTTGGGATTCTCTCTCTCCCTCCCCCTCCCCCTGCTTGCTCTATCTTCTCTCTAAAATAATCTTTAAAAAAAGAGAGAGCCAGAAATAACAACAATGACAGATTCTGTATTTAAGGCATACACAATTAAAATGGACACATAAATAACTGCAATGGGAGGCCACGCCAATGACAAACATGGTGCTGGCAATCAGGACCCTAAGACTGTGGCAAACAGGCTTCGTCTGGCATGTCACTCAGATTGATTGGCAGTGCTTTCTACAGTGAGAAGAATTCTGAGACTGTGTGGGGTTCAGCAGGAAAGAGTGCTGGGCTCAATTACAAATGTCTGCCATGGGTACCGGTAGGGAGACTTTTCAGTATATAGCATCATATTTATCATTCTTGCCTGAAAAGGAACAGATCCCTTTCAGCTGCAATGATGAAAGAAAGCTTCACAGTGTAAAGCTAAAATCTGCTACAATTGCAACCTAAATTTGCAAATGATGGGCATGTCCTGTATGCGGCCATTGTTACAGAGAATCCGGGTACCTATCTGACTTACCTAGTGCACAGTATATATGTTACTTCAATTTCAACCCTTCATATCACTCCTCCACCCCATCCCACAAAAACATCCAAGCAAGAATATTTAAAAAAAAAAAAATAGCCAGGTAATACACGTTGAGATATGTGTTGGAATAAGGGTGTGTCTGGCCATGATACAGGGGAGAAAACAGCCGCTTCTATTCTTCCATTGCTTTTGGACTTTCCCGGGCCTCCTCAGAACTGTCACTTGTCAGAACTGTGGATCATCTCACTTCACCCTTGCTTTCTAGAGTTCAATTCAATGCAAAGCCCAAGACTTGGACCTATGACTTGTGAATCCTAAAGTTTCTCTTAATAGAGTCATCCCATTTCTAAATTGGTCTCACTGCAGAGAAAGTGTTGCAACATTTATTGAATATTTATTAGAACATCAGAGTCAGATTTCACTGTTTTCCAAATATATTAATCCTATCTTTAAACAACTGCCTGATAATACCACTGTTGTTGATGGACAATATACTCTGGACAATATACCATGTTGTCCAGAGGAGCCTCAAGCAGGGGTAGCAAACTTTCTATAAATGGCCAGATTGTAAATATTTGAGGCTTTGTAGACATACTGTGTCACCTCTGCTCACTCTGCCACTGCAGCTCAAAGCAGCCATGGACAATACACACAGCAGGAAGCATTTGTTCCAGTACAACTCTATTTACAAATACATGTGGTGGGCTGGCTTTGGCCGGAGGCTAAATATAGTTTGCAGACCCCTGATCGAAAGAAAGAACTCTATCAACCTTATACTTTCTAGGGTGACACGGGAAGTAAAACGTGGAATATCACCTGGGCTTTGCCAGCCACCCCACATTCTTTCTGGAACATATCAGCACTCTGCGTGCCTGTTTTTACAACTATCCTATATCCTCCTACAACATCCTATCTTGCTCCTTCCCTGCCTAGATTTCCCATTTCACCTGAGTAATGAATAAACAGAGGACTGGCCCAGGCTCTCCCACCTAGGCTCAGGGAGTGAGCAGCTACTTGGTCATTTTTACTGTAATTACTCACTCTCCGGGCGGCTCTGTCCCTGCACCGGGTTCAGAGCCCAGAGATGGAGCCTGGCCTATCTCAGCACCAGGTTATAAATCACAGATAAGGCAGCCCTCCCCTTCTCTCTCTTCCCAACCTCTTAGATTAATTAATTGTCAGGAATACATATCTGCTTGCAGAGGATGAGAGGCCACTGGGAGAGAAAGTCAGGGAGAAGGGGTGTGGGGAGATGAGGATTTGTGAGCCTGCAAACCCAGCCTGGCTGATTACATCCCCCACCAGTGAATCATTCAAAGCCCAGAACCCTGAGAAATGAGCACATTACTGATCCACAGGCTGCACGAATCACGCCCTGTCAGCAATGCCTATGGGACCGGTGCTGGAGGCTCTCTCCTCTGGAACAGGAAGATGGCCCTAAACCACACCATAATCCTAGAGGCCCCTTGGGAGCCACTCTTCCTCTTGGGGCTTTGCTGTGGCCCTGAAGGTCATGATATTGAAGATGCCCAATCCCTAACCCACCCCCAATTCTTCAGCTTCCAGAATTTCACACCCATCCAGTCTTAGAACCCTGCAGCAAGATTGCACTGGGGAGAGTGCAGGGCCGAAGAGGAGGATCACCCAACCTTTACATCAGAGCAGTGGGGTTTCTATATACTTAACTGTGGGGGTCTCAGGAGCTTTATCTGAACAAAAGATTCTGTGGCTAAAAAAAAAAGTTTCAAGACCACTGTATGAGATGATCTTAGATCATCTAACAAAAGCTCAAATGGAAAAATGTCCTGGAGTCAGAGGAACTCAGCCTTTTTTCCAGCAGCCCTCTCACCACAAAGCAGTCCTGCCGGGCAGAGGCCAGTGTCATTACCTCTCCCCATGACCATGGAACCTCGGCTTTTAAATCAGCTTTAGATTTTGCTCCCCACACCACTCCCCCATCCTACCGGCACACCAGTCTTTGGAAAGGAAAACAAAAGAAGAAGAAGAAGAAAAGGAAAGGTTGCTGGAGAAACCAATACCTACATCAGTTACAAAGCTAAATTCTTCTCAAAGCAGAACATGATGCTCCCTTGGCCTAAAATGCCCTTCACCTCCACTTTTCTGCCCAGTTAAGGACTCCTTGTCCTTTAAGGTAGCTCAGTGCCACGTGCTCCTGCATACTAACGCTCTCAAAGGCAGCTCTTCCAGCACGAAGCCTAGTGTTCTTTCCATGCCCTGCACTGCTCCACGATCTGTGTTTTGGGACCGTGGACTAGGTAAGGCCACCTTGGGAAGGTAAAGCTCCCTGGAAAGAGCTGCATCATCTGGATGGGGCATGAGACAGGTGGAGCTCTGACGAGTTCTGTCCTAGGGGACCCCAGGCGAGGTAGCAGTGTTAGAACATGACGAGTGCTCAGCTCATCATGACTTTCCCTGCCCAGATGTGCTTAGTTGTGATTAGATCACTATATGAAGTGAGAACTGGACGTGAAATACGGCTAGTTTAGGCAAATATGGGCTCTGGAGCTTAATCCCATTCTTTGGGTGTCAACTTCAACATCATCAGCTTGGAGCTTTCCCCAATTCCTAAAGCCATGTCAGACCTTTCATGACCTTTGCTCTAATTCTCTATAGAGATCAATCTTGGCAGTCACCACACTTGAGTTTTTGTGCCACTTTTATAAACTTTGGTGTCAGGGGCAGGTCTATCTTAATCTCCTGGGGCCAAGTACTGTGCTTGACACATAAGAGAAAATCAAGATACTGTTGATGAACAAATGAAATGAAAGAGTGAGAGGGATGAGAGTTCATCAAATCTCAGAAGCCAAGGCCAGTCAGTGAGAACCTCACCTGATTTGAGACATATAGAATTAAAGGGCAAACAGCTATTCCTTAGGTCAGTAGTTCTCAAACTTGCCTGTGTCCAGAATCACCCAGAGGGCTTGTTAAAATATGGATTCCGGGACCTCAGCTGCACAGATTAGGACTTAGCAGATCTGGGATGGGGTTCAAGAATTTGCATTTCACAAGTTCCCGGGTGCTGCTGATACTTTGAGGACCATTTGGTTCTCATTTGGCACCCACATGATTATAAAATGGATCCACCCATGGGAACAAAAATTGTATTCAATCAGATGACTGAGAATATACTTATTATCTTTGCAAAAATTTTTTTTTGAAATTTCCACAGAGAATTTATGGACTCCCTAAGAATATACACCCTAACCAAAAGGTCTCAGACTCAGTTTAAGAAATGTTAATCTAAATAACACTAGTTGCCCTGATTTTCTATCCGATTAATGTATTGAGCCAGAAGAGATTTTTCTCTTTTTTTTTTTTTTTCTCAACTATTTAAAAAATAGCCATAAGAGCCCTTGGTCAGATTTAAGGCCAAAATCACACGATCAACTGGAGAAAGATGAATGTTTCAGCATTTCGCCCAAAGTGGCTGGAAGCCTGGAATGGCAGCTATCTATCAAGAGAGTAGCTTTTCCACTAAAACCCATTGGCTCCCCCTTACCTCTGCATAATCAGCCACAAGGTAAAGCTCCACATACTTCATGGAGTGTAAATCTTCCCTTTTCATCTAAGAAAGAGATATAAGCAGATCAGAGCTGTAGAAATGGTGTGCATGCTAGTTAATAATGGCCCTCCTTACTGACTTTACACTTGGCATTAGAGACCATGCTGGCTATAGTTACCATTACCCTTACTACACCTTCAGCCAGTCATCTTGGTTATCGATGGGGCTGCTCAGGGACTATGAGTCAAGTCCTTTATACTCAAAAAACAATAAGCTGGGGTGGCTAGTTCACAGGCCAACATACTGTGAGGGAACACGCTGACAGTCAAGTTCCCAAAAAGCATTTAAACCACATACCTCTATTTTCAGTATACATAAATACATGCATTTTGTGCATATGGTTAAGTGGCTATTCCAAAAGGGAAGGCATGGTTTTTTTTTTTTCTCACATTTTAAAGTTTCTGAAATCAGCATCTCAGAGTATTATAAATGTCATAGTGTTTTTTCCCAAAAGTTTTTCCCAAAGGCAATTATTCCATGCAATACAAGGGTATCTCACATAGCAGTGAAAAAGATAAGAACTTAGAATTAAAAAGAAAGGTTATTTCCTCCCTCCTGTCCATCTCCTTTAATTTAGGAATACTCCTGGATCCAAAGTAAGGACATCTGAGGGGACAAGCATACCACCAGGTTGGCTCTTGCACTGAGACTCACCCTGCGAGGTCGTTTCTTGGTCTGGTTCATAGAAGGAAGGACCCTGTCCCCAGTGATGGACTTGGAGTACTTGAACCCACAGTTCCCCAGGGGCAGCTTGAGATGTTCAGATCTGTAAATAAGGTGGTGGCCCTCGCTGTCGGGGAGGGGCTCGATGATGTAGCTGAGGTTACTGCTCACCATAATCAGTCCTCTGTCAATGGGAGAAACAGAATCTCTGGTCAAAGACTATAGTCCTGGAAAAGTCTCTTGCTCAGGCCTCGGTTTCTCCATATGCAAAATGACATGGTTGGTTTTGATCACTGTTTCTTTACTATGGGGTCATGTATAGTATGGGGTCTCTTTTGGTGAGATTCTGATGCAAACTCAGACTTTCCCTCCAGAGAAATATGCATGTGTATATGAAAGGTGGTACACAATTTCAGATACTAAAAGCTTATTAATTAAGATGCTCAAAGCTTCTAAAAAGGCCCACCAGGGGCAGTTAATAATACAAAGGATGGTAAGACCAGGATTCCAAAAAGCCTCCCAAACCCAAGCACCGCATGTGACATATCAAAAGTTGCAACTTATAGGTTCAGAAAAAGATGGTCTGTAAACTGGAAAATAAACACTGGCCTGGGGGTGAGGAAACCCATGTTTTGGTCCTCACTCCAACAGTAAGCTGTCAAATGGTCTTCAATGCACTTCTTAAAAAAAAAAACAAACAAACTCCAAGCCTCAGTTTCCCCTGTGTAAATGCAAATGATAATTTACTAATTTAACAGGATTCCAGATGATTAAATGAAAATATTTTTGTGTACAGAAACCAAAGCCAGAGGCATCACTGATGGCACTCCTACTAGCCTCAACGAGGCCATCTTTTAGTGAAGCAACATCCACAACCAAGAACATGTGACTACTCTTAGCTCCCAGTTATAGATACAAGCACTGAACTCAGAATAAGGACATGTGTTCATTCATTACATTCTTTCACTCACTGAACTCTTAATCTGTACTAGATGTGATCTAGACATAATCCCTGTCCTCAAGTAAGTCACAGCTTCATTGGAGGATGGTCATTCATTCTATAAGTATTTCCTGAGCTCCTTCTATGTGCCATGCACATAGATGAGCACATGATGCACATGATGAGCATGGAGAAGTGAACAGGATAGACAAAGGGCCTGCCCCTCTGAAGCTTACACTCTGAACCTGGGAATAAATCACTAGAATATATAACAGAGACAGCAAAAAGAATTCATCGCCCCCAACACGGATGGACTGGATACAGCTGCCTCGGAGCACTCCATCAATGCAGCTTCTGATAGAAAGAGTGCTATGACCTGTTATTGATCACGATCGCAAATAATCCCTGGTGAGTACAGGTGGTATCTGCCATCCTTGATACAGTAAGATGAATACTATAGCAAGGGAATGCACTGAGCCAGGGCTCTGGGGAGGAAGAAGCCCAGTAACGAGTCCGAGGGCACCGACAGCATGTCATGGGATCCCAAACCTGAGGCCCTCATCTGTCCAGAGAGTTCAAAAGCTAAAGTATCTCCAAGTCAGGCTTTGTCACTCCAAACCGGCAAGACCTCTGTCTGGCTGTCCCAGCTTCCACCTCCACCCCTCCCCCCTCAAATCCCCACCCAGGCTCTGCCCTTTGGGAAGAGCCTGTGATGCTTGTGGGAGAGATAGCGCCAGTTTGTGATCAGCAGCAGCCTTCCTGGAATCCATCCCTGGCTGACCTCACTCTGGTGCCAGGGGGCCTGACGACTTCCCGGTTGCCTCACCCAGGCTGACGCAGCAATCTGGGACCAGCCCCTCAGCCCGACACCCAAGGTGCTCCCTGAACAGCTGAGGGTGGGAGTGGGGCTAAGAGCAAAGGTCACATCCGCTCTCGAGTCCAGACAGGAAAGGGCAGAGGGGAGAGCCACTGTGGGCATCCTGTTCCCAAGCTTTCTTCTCATCTCGCCTGACCAAGGCCCCTCCCATGACCTCAGTTTCCCCCAATGGCTCCAAACACTGGAAACAGAGGGCTTGACAGCAAGTCAGAGGATGGTTTTGTGCCCATCAGGTTGTGGCTGTGAAGATAACACCCAGTGAGTGGAAAGTTCCAGGCTTCCCTTGAATAAGCTTCTGGGTCAAACAGAACAGAGATAAAGCCAAAGCTTAGTACATGGTGAACAATAGGAATCATGGTAGCTATACAGAAGCTTTGCTATGGTCCAGCCACTATGCTGAGTATTTTCTTCTTCACACCAACATTTCTGATCCTTAGAAACATTATCCCCATTGTACAAATAAGAACACTAAAGTGAGGTGAGGTTAATAAACTGACCCAAAGTCACACAGGTAGCAAGAACCCAAGCAGTCTGGTTCCAGATCCCACAGCCTTAACCATGATCTCACGCTGCCTCTGTCACAACAGCCCTGGAGAGTGGGTCAGAAAGATAGCCCCCATCTACAGATGGTTACAAGTGACAGGCACCAGTACCTCTCCGTGGGGGTGGGATTGGCCTGTCCTAAGTAAGATATCAGTCTGCTGGGAGATAAGACGAAGGAGGCTGTTAGCCTACTTTTCATTGTTGGATGCCATTTTTTTGAGAGTTAACCGCAGGCCAGGCACTGTGCTTACAATCGTCATTCTTTTTTCATCAGTGTTACTAGGCACCATCAGAAGTCCCACTTCATAGATGAGGAAACTGGGCCTTGGAGAGATTAAATAACAAAGTCTGCCGGGTATCTAGAGCCCAAGGTTTGAGGTCCAGACTCTGGGATGTCCATCAGTGAGTTCCAAACTGATGGGTCAAACTCCCAGAGCTACCTATTAGAATATTCTATGGAGCATATTAAAAATAAAAATGTAGGAGACTCAGATATCGTAGGCTGGAGCATCTGCGCTGTAAACAATCCTGCGGTAATTCCCTGCACAGTAATACTCAGGAAGTTTGGCCTGGAGCCCAGGCGTGGTGGCAGGAGCCTGTCTTTTCACAAAGCCCCAGACAATTCTGCTTCAGAGAGTGGGAAGATTCTACTTCGAGAAGCACAGGCTCAGGAGGACACTGAAGGTCCTTCTGGCAATAGGACTCATGGCTGCTTCCCGCTCGTCCCCCTACTGTGGTCCCTGGTAATCTGCCCCATGGCACCGTGGCCATCCTCCCTGACTACCTGGCTTGGAGGAGAAGCTGGCACAAGCCCCAGCACTTTACAGTGAGCACCAGCTTTAGACAACAACAGTCGGGGAGAGGGGGATGGATTTCTTAGAATCTAATTCCCAAAGGCTTCCCTATCTCCACCCCCAAATCCTGCTAGCTGCTCTCCCCTGAGCACCCACGGGTCATTTATCTTCCCAGGAGCCTCAGTTGATCTAATTTGCTAAATGTAAGCACTGGCAGAGCTTAGCCAGGGGGCACGGGAGGGGAGTCCAGGAGGCTGGGTGGCTGGAACCTCCCACACTATTCTCTATTCCACTCTCCATCCTATTGCTCATTGTTAAGAGCCTGATATAAACGAAATTATACAGAGGAACCCTGGCAGGGCAGGACAGGCAGGGAGGAGCAGATGATTCATGTTTAACTCCTGAATGACCATGGGACTTATGCAAATACACCCTTGAAGGACCGAGGCAAGAAGTACTTCCTAGGAATGTGTCCGTTCAGAGCTAAACCTACGGGGACACATCCCACGTCCCTACATCTGGGGCTGCCCTAAGAGGTAAACACCCTGTTACCCTTCCTTCCCTCCCCTTATTGCTCCCCATCCCCACCCCAATCTGCATCCAATGAGAAGGAGGTACTGGGAACATGAAAGGCATCACAGAAGGAAGGAGGTGCAGAGGTGACCAGCTCCATAAGGGATGGGGTGGCAAGGCACAAGTGGGGAGGGTAAGCTGGGGAGGGAGACACAGGTGGGCCTGAATTCTGGCTCTGCGTCTCCTAGCATTGTGCCAAGTCAATAATGCGGGCCAGCTCGCACTGTGGCTATGATAACTGACTGAAGTAAGGGAGCCATTCAGTAGTCATTCAACCCATATATATGGAAACTACTATGTGCCAAGAACTGTTTTAGGCACTGGGGATGCAACACAATTGAAAAGAGTTCCCTCTCTTAAGGACCACACTCATTACCTACTATAAATCCACCAGTGAGGTCACAGCTGTTCCCACTGTATAGGCAAGAAAACCAACACTACAGAACTAGGTTTTACACCAAGAATGGTTTGACTCTAGAATCTACACCTGTCATGACTTAGCGGTACCGCCCTGCGAGGGCTTACTCTGTGCCTGACACAGAGGCAGTGTTTATTATACGTTCTTCAGAAGGAAGGCCAGGTATTCAAAGGGGAAGGCCATGCCCCTCCCTGGCAAAACAGCAGACGGGGATGGACTGCTGCGGGTATATGAGCCACCTCCTTCTGCCCCAGGTGCCCACCTCCCTGAGACCGTGCACTCTCTGCAGCACAGAACTTCCAACACTGAATAGTCCTTCGAGTGATCTGATCTACTTTATTTTTCAGATGAGAGGAACCAAAGCCCAGAGAAAAAGGAACTCGCAAGGTCACCCAGTGAGTTACTGTTACAGCTGGGAGCAGATCCCAGTCTTCTGGTGAACCGGCTCCTTACTCCCCAGTGGGGCCCTGACACCAGCCCCCACCCCCACCGCCCACTCACAGTCCTTGCACCATGAACACCATCTGTAAAACTGAATAAGGCCCACAGGAAAAGAAAAAAAAAAAGCCCACAGGAGATGCCAGTCTAGCCAAAGGCAAAGACAAGGAGAAAATGATTTGAGGAAGGCGAAGTTCAAAGACCACACAGCTGGGAGGTGTGGAGTGAGGTCTCAGACTTAAGTCCCTTGGTTCTAAATTCTGAGTGCCTTCCAGGCCATCATGCACACATTCTTACACATTCTCTTCATTCATTTTCAATCTCATGTTCTCTTTCCAGCCCACTCTCACAGATATGAGTCCTGGGACCTGGAGTAAAGTATAACCACAGTAAGGGTGGGCCTCAGAGTTTTGAGGACAGAGCTGCTATAAGATAATTTATTGTATATCCTGGAAAGACTTTCTGTGTAATTAAACTTGCCAAACATATGTACATAAGATACTTTGCAGCCATTCAAAGAATGAGATAGATTTATATGTGCCTAAGACATAATGTTAATTTAGAAAAAAAATTACAGAATGTTATGTCTAGGATAATCTTATTTGGATTAAGAAACACCCTGTATACACACAGTTATGTCTTTCAGTTATGTATTCTCCAACCGTGATTATAGATGGGGAATGCAATTGGTTGGAACGGTGGGAGGGGTTAAGGAACTTTCATTTCTTTTAACCTGACACTTGTGGACTATTTGAACGTTTAACACACTAGTTATGTGATAATAATTTTCAATAAGCATTTTCTTTAAAAATAAACAACTTACCAATGAGGTAAAAATAACGTTTTACTGCAGTCAGTACCTCTCTTGCTGGCAAAGAGCGAGCTAAGGACACATACACATACATATATGTGTATATATACACACAGGGTGTGCTAGGACCCACATGTTCACTTAGGGTTCACTTCATTCCAGTACTGTCTAGATTCCTTCACAAATACCCTTTCCTTCTTACATTGATAATTTGTGTTACTTTGCAAAGCATTGTAGCATGCAAGAAGTCAGGCAGACATTTAGAGGATGAGTTGTTGATCAGACAGGCATGAAGGGCCTTGGCGCACAACATCCACAGTGAAATTATTTGTCACATCTTTTTACTGGTGTATTTTATAAGTATCCATTGATGCTGTGCAATTTTGACTTGTATCAGCCCAAATACAGTTATAAAACACTATATTACCTATCAACATTCTCCTTTCACAAGAAATATTTCTAAAAGAATAAACAAGAAACTGGTAACAATGGCTGCCTCTGGTGGTGGTGGGGGGAATCTGGAAATCCTGGATAAGAAAGAAACCTGTTTCACTGTACCCTCTCTTTTATACTGTTTGAATTCATTTTTATTATGATCATGTTATTACTACTTCAATTAAAGTCACCCAAATACTGCTTTGGAGAGAAGAGGGGGCCCAGGAACAAACTGGAAACTCAGAGAAACTCCTCTATTTGTATTAACAGCCTGAAGCTTCCATTTGGTATAAACCCTACCTGTTTTCTCCAGTCACAAGGAACATGTTCCCAGGAGAGAAGCACAATCACTATGGAGATTCTTGCATGGGGCCATGGCTTTATGAGCCTTGGGGAGGCACTTGAGGGTCACACAGGTTTGCAGTCTGCTGCTGCTGTAGCTGCTCCTCCTCTGGGGTCCGAATGAGACATCTGGCATACGGCTCTGGTTCTTAAACCAGTTGGGCCCACAGATACCCTTAAGTTCTTAAGGGGTATAGTGAGAAGGCTGGGAAAGTAAGACGGGGGGACTACACCAGAAGGAAGCATGCAAAACAGAAACATGTGGACGGCTCACCCGGTTTCCCCCTGTCAACTCGGCTGTGGGAATGATTTGTGAGAGGCCAAGCCAAGTTCCCACTGCTCCAGACCACGGACACAGGGGAAGAGGCAGAGAGAAGCAAGCCGCACCTGCCTGTTCATTTCTTCCTTCTTGGGATAGACATTGTTTACTTGCAGACTGCAGGTGGTGGTGGCTCAGCCTGTAAACACCACGGGGAGACCAATTGGCTTGGTTCAACCAGGTCATCTGAGCCAGGGATTTGGAGCCACTGTCACGGTCTCCCAGCCAAAGCTTGTTTCCTGCCTAATTCCCTCCGGCAGATGCACATAAAGCCTTACAGAGGAAACATGGCCTAGTTTATAAACAAACACATGCGATTTGCAGCAGGAGGGACCTTCCACTTACATGTGGGCCTGGGTTAAGTTTAGTGTGGCTTCATTGTTATAAAATGATCATAATCCCATGTGTCTGTAAAATGCAGTAGTTAACACAGCACTTAACATTCTCTACTGCGCCTATCATCAATGCCCGTTCTACAGAAGAGGAAACCAAAGGCTCAGAAAATTACTTTTCAATGCCCATCTTTTCTCAACCTTTGTAGGGCATGGGCACAGAGGAGGCACCCCATATTGATTTGCTGAAGGAAAAAAAGAGTCATGGAATCAATTGACCAACAGAGAGGAAGGGTACACAATGGAGACACTTCCTACTGACTCGTGGGAGCCTGTCACGTGCATACCTCCCAATTCTGCCTTCAGTAACGTCATGTTGACAGCTTTAAATTGGTCATGGTGAGTATTCTTACCAGCAGATGCTACAAATTTGTCCTTTTTTTTTTTTTTTTCCCATACTGTAGGGCCATTTCATCAACACATGGGGTGTAGGTGCCACATAGTACAGGCAATTAATACCCAGCAATTAGTCTTGGTAATGAGAATGCAGGTTTTTCAGATCATCATCTCTTTTTCAAAAGAAAGAGAGTGGGAAGAGTCTAATTAAATGAAATTTATGACTTCAACATACATGTAGAGATCCTACTACATGCAAAGCACTAGCATGGCTGGAGGAGAGAAACAGATATTTGAGATCAGATGCATATCCTTAAGAAACAGGTATTCTCAGGTACAAACTAATGTGCATAGGAATCCCCAGGGATCTTGGTAGAATGCAGATTATGTTCCAGTCATTCTAGATGAGACCTGAGAAACTGCATTTTGAACAACCTCTCAGGTGATGCTGATGCTGCCCTTCCACCGGCCACACCTAGGAAGCAAGGCGCTGGGAGGTTGTTGAGTGCTACCATAGGCCAGCCAGCTCTAAACATTAAAGATCTATTAACACATCCAATCCTCATGATACTAGGGATCTTTACCTCTTATTCACATCTTCCACATGAGACTACTGAGGCCCAAGGTCACCCAGCTGGTCAACTGCTACTGGCTCAAACTCAGGGAGTTTGGTTCACAGAACAAAGAGCCACTTTCTTTCCATTGTGCCACCTAGTTGGACCTTCCTGAAAATTACCTTGCTTCTCCTTTCTCTTCCTTTCTCCTCTTTTCACTAACTGCCCACCAAGTACTTCTACCAGAGAAGAGCAAAGGAGAAGTGGGAATAAGCGCTCACACTCATTTCAAGGGTATAAACCATGTCTTGTATTTCCTATATTCTGATGCTTTGACAGCCAAGGCCTTGCCCTTCTCAGGATTTGCCAATTCTTAGGGATGGCAAACAACTTTCAAATGCAGACTCTCACCCTCTTGGCCAGTCTTCCTGCCCTGGTCACCCCAGGGTAAGGTGCTAGATGACCAAAAACAGCTCATATGCCCCAGATCCCACTGAATTATTCAACTTGAACAATCCTAAGCCTGCTTGCCCTGCCTTGCCTGTTTCTTCCCATAGAAACTACAGCAAAGACTCTTGCCCACACTCCCTCACTCCCTACAACCTGCCCCGACTGCCCCCTATACTTCCCTATGTGGTGTGCCCCCTCTTCTTGGGATCTTGAGTACAACCAACTATTTTTTTCAATGGCAGTTAGTCATCTCCTGATCTGCTGGTTTTACCATACCTATTTTTTCATAACAAAACAAAGTTCCTCAAGAAAAAGCTCAATTCCAGTGATTTATGGTTTTTCTAGGATTTCCCTTGTCTCTCCCAAGCTCATCCCTTCTTAAAATTGGCTTGAATACACTCTCAATGGACAGCTTCTCAAGGTCTCTGCCTAAGGCCAGCCCTGCCTGTCATAAAAATGCCATGCCTGGGGAGAGTGCCAGGTGCCCCCCAGCACTGTCAGGGTCCCTTACCTCATTCCCCGGCAGGTGCTGAGCGCCACACTGGACTGTTCTGCCTTCCTCACCGTCCCGTGATAAAAGCAGTGTTCCTAGCAGGGAGAAAAGGGTGGTCAGATGAAAGGACACTGATGAGCATGGCAGTGTTAATGTCCCGGGAAGTCCAGGGATGATTATACACATCCTAACTTACAGTCTGAAAAGAGCTTTCCAAGCCACCATTTTATTTGATCCTCTTAATAGTCCTGGGAGGTGGGACAAAGCAGATGTCACCATCCCCAGTGAACAGATGAAGAAACCAAGATTCAGAGAAGCAGAAAGGTCTCCCTTGCTGAAGCTTTCCCTGCTCATCAGAGGAACCGGGACTTCATGACCATTTCATGGCTCTTGCCATGACACGTGGCCCCAGGAAACGCTGACTTATGAAGAGCCTGCCTCCCCGCTAGAGTCACCTCTGTGACCTCTGTGACCCCCTGGAGAGTTGAAATGCGTGTCCTCTCAGACCTCAGAATGCGATCTTATTTGGAATAGCGTCTTTACAGATGTCATTAAATTAAAATGAAGTCATCCTGGACTGGTGTCCTTAGAAAATACGGAGAGGAGAGAGAGAGAGACAGAGAGAGAGAGAGAGAAGAGGCCATTTGCAGATAGCGGCAGAGATTCGGGGGACGCAGCTACAAGCCAGGGAGCACTAGACTGCCAGGTGCCACTGAAAACTGGAAGAGTCGGGGATCCCTGGGTGGCGCAGCGGTTTAGCGCCTGCCTTTGGCCCAGGGCGCGATCCTGGCGACCCGGGATCAAATCCCACGTCAGGCTCCCGATGCATGGAGCCTGCTTCTCCCTCTGCCTGTGTCTCTGCCTCTCTCTCTCTCTCTCTCTCTGTGACTATCATAAAAAAATAAAAAAAAAATTAAAAAAAAAAAAAAAAGAAAACTGGAAGAGTCAAGGAAGCATCCTTCCCTGGAGACTAGGGAGGAAGCCTGGCCCTGCCGACACGTTGATTTTGGACTCCCAGCCTCTGGAACCCGGTTTTACACCCCCTCTCCCCCATGTTCATGGTGCTTTGTGACAGCAGCCCCAGGAAACAGAGCTGCCCCTCACCCCCACCTCCCCCGAGTCCCTGCGTGTCTGGATCAGGCCTGACTTGGCACTTGCATCCATGGAGTTCTGATCCTGTTCTCTCACTGGCGCGTGTCTCACGGCCATCTGGTCTCCCCGACCTGGCTGGACTCCTCGGGACTACAACCAGCCGCTGAGTACCGCTGCATGCCAGGCTCCCGGCTGGGCCTGGGAGACACAACGAGGAGCAAACAGACCCAGCTCCAGCCTTCCTGGGACTTGGCGTCTTGTGAGAACCAATCTTAATTAAAAACTCATACAAAGATTTAATTACAAACTGTGAAGTGGGGCTTGAAATAAAAGTTGGAGGCACCAGCAGAGTGTTTTATAAGTAAGGGAGCCAGTGCATCTAAGAGGCCAACTGGGACGCAGCTGGGAGCACTGAAGCACAAACCAGACTGGAGGGCACAGCCCAGGACTGTCCCCGACACACAGAGGGGTGATGACAAGGGACCTGTTACTATAAACTTCTTCCTGAATAGTTCAAGAGAGATCAGCTGCTCAGAAGAGACAGATGGTATGTATAATCCTCAGGGCAGAGTCAGGTTCTGCAAAGGTGTTCAGGAGGGTATGAGCCATGCAGTTGCAGACACTGGAGCTTTGTCTTTCCCCTCAACACCCAAGTGGGTCCAATCAGAATTTTCAGGCATCTGCCTATGGAACAGTCCAAGTGATCCATCACTAGGACCACGCTTGCTCACAGTTGTTCCCCAATCCTCAGCCAGCAGGGAGGGGACCCAGGAGACAGCAAACCCATTCGACTGTATTCTCCGGCTCCACCTCCCGGCCAGCTCTGGGTAGGAGTATGGTCTGATAATCAAATTCAGGTATTTTGGCATAGCCAGGCCAGATTTAAATGCAAGCTCCCACACCTGCCAGTGATGGAAACAGTTCCACAGCCTCTCTCAGACCCTCAGTGTCTTCAGTCTCTATGGTGTGAGAATACTATATGCATCAAGGACCTAGAGCAGGGTACCTGGCCCAGAGTGGCCAGCAATAAAACTTAGTGATCATGATATAGCCATTAAATTCTCCTTGTCAAAGGCAGAATGTGGCCTCCAGGGAGCTGGAAGCCCACCAAGTGGCTGAATCCCCAGTCGTTCCATACCAATTCTGTGTCCTATGCAGCTGTGCCATGCAGCCAGATCACAGGATATAGGCCAGGCCATCACTCAGCTCAGGGTCAGTCCCCAGACCACTGGTGCCCTTTCTCCTGGTGACGACCTGCATACACTCTCAATGGACAGCTGACCAGCAATGTGGTTCGGCTCCTCCACCCATTCAAGCTCAGGGAGTCAGGAGGAGGGACAAGCAGCAACCCCTCTCGTTGCATCAAACTTCAAACAAGCCAGTTCTGGACCTTCAGAGGAGCACAGAGGAAAGTCGCTGTGCCCACCTAGGAAGGAAAGTGAGGCAGGCGAAACCCTTCTTCCAGCCAGGATCCCATTTACTTTGGAATGCCAGCATGTCATGTGGTTTCTCCCCTCCTCCCAGATTCCAAGACTTGGAGACACATCATCAAACACCCCGGTTCTGAACTGATCCTTAGAACTCAGCCACGGGGCCATGAACTCTACAACCCAGGATCATTCACAGGTGGAGGAGGGGGCCAGGCCTGTATGGGGTAAATGGGGTTCGCAGATGTCAGAATGGCAGAGAGTCAAAAAGTTCAGAAATGAAGGTCAGCTAGTTTCAGCGATCCAAATCCAGGGATGGGCATGAAGAATCCCTGTACCTCTTCCCATCTTTGGACTGATGCTGACAGTGCTCCCTCACTGCTCTCTGACATAGCATAACAACGGACTTTAGTAACATGCTTTAAATTGACCCAGGGCTTTTACACACGTCACCACGGGTGCTAATGATACCTGCCTTTCTCTGCTACAAACAATGAAGGGTAACGTCTACCCAGCACTTACTACTGGATAAAAAAAACTGAGGTAGATATTTTTCCTTTAATTCTGACAACCTCACAGCTTTATGAGGTAGGTATTATTACTCCCGTATTTAAAAAGGTGAAATTAAAGGTGGGAGAGGTTTCAAGTCACTCACAGCGTCACACAGCCAGGTGGAGACCTGAACCACAGCAGCCTGACTCTAGACTCGACAGCCTCTCCTAGCAGAAGCAGCCCCAGGAAAGTGTGCAGAACTTAATTCGCCACAGCCCTACTCTCTTCTAGCGCCAACAGGGACTTGGTTCTAGTCAAGCCTTGTCACTTACTGGCTATCTGAACACAAACATGGTACTTTGTCTCTTCTCCTCTCAATTTCCTCACGAGTAAAATGTGCTGGGAGAAATGTTTACAAATTCCCATAAAATCGGTGATTCATCTTACCCTTCTATAGCTCTGAGAGTCAGATCTTAGCATACCCAATTTTCTGATGAAGAAACTCAACACCAGTGTGGTCAAAAGGGTTGGTTAAGGTCACATAGCTAGTTAAAGCCAAGCCTACAGCCCTGGCTTCAGACCCCAAATCTGTAACTCCTCCAGGCCCAGTGGATGAGTTTGATGAGGTTCCCAGAGCTCCCAGTATCCCAGGCCAACGCTGGTCGTGGGTCGCAGCCCTCGATGTCTGGGTCAGGCACAGCCAAATAGTTTATTCTATTCTCGTTTCTCTTTGAAGTCCTCAGCTCCCAGATAAGAAAGCTGAGTAGGAGCTCCATGAGGCTGGGTGGGGGCTTTGTAAGAGTCCAAGAGGAGGGGATGTAAGAAAATAACGGGTTGTCCCATACTTCAGCTAGGATACCAATAAGACCTTCAGCTAGGAAGGAGGGGCATTCTGGGGGTGAGGGGATGTTCTCTTCCACTCCTTTGTTTCTGAAAGGCCCTTACAGCATCTCTGGCTAACTCTGAGAGCACAAAGAACAAGTAAATGAACAGTCATGAAGTCATCGCATTCCTTCTCAGCTTCTCGACCCGAGGGGGCCACCCAAGGGGGCTTTCACAGTAGGAAGTATGAGCTCATGGCACACTTGACTGTGCATAGAGAAGTGTAGGAGCCAAACTCAGAGGATGGTGCTTTGTGAGGTCCTGGGGCTTTCAAGGCATGCCTGCCCCCTCCCTGCCTCCCTTAAGGCAGAGAACAGAGGTCTCCGTGATGGAAGAAATTTCGACCAAGGGGCACGAAAGAAGGCGTGCAGCCACAGCTGGAGAGCCTTCCTGGGGATGAGAAGACACAGCCAACTTGCCCGCCGTGGGTCCTGGTCACACTGCCAACTCCTCCCCATCCAGAAAGGTCTTGGTAAAGAAGATAGCATTGATCCAACACAGCTCCTCAGCTACGTGATTACTATGCTCCCGACCTCTTAGATCTATCAAACTGGAGCTGTCCTGTGTCCATTTCCCCATTCAAGGCTGAGCTGAAAAACTAATCTGAGCTTTTACTGATGGACAGTGGCTGTCATTGTCTTTTGGACATCCGCACTGTAGCAGGGACAGTTTAAAGATGCACAGATTCCATGAGAAGCTGCCAGAGGAGCACTGAGGCAGAGGGACCTCTCCTGCTGTCCTCTACACAACACTCCACATCTGCATGCCACAGAAGCCCATGATGTCCCGCCCCACAGGCAGAAGACCACTGCTGCTCCTACTGGAGTCCACCTGCCCTTCTTCACCCCCATCTCATCTGTATGGTCTGAGAAGGATCACCCTATTCCAGAGTGTCTCATCTTGTACACTGCTGACATTTGAGGCCAAGTAATTCTCTGCTGTGGAGGGGCTGCCTTATGCATTGTAGTACACTTAGCAGCATCCCTGGCTTCTACCCACTAGATGCCAGTAGCATCCACTTCCCAGTTGTGACAGTCAAAACTCTCTCCAGACACTGCCAAGTGTCCCCTCCTTCACTGGCTAAAATGGCCAAAGAAATAGAATATTTTAGGGTAACTGCATCTGATTAAAATTGACATAAATCATCATGAAACATATTTTTTTTGCATCATGCTAGTTACCCACATGTTAATAACAATTTAAGCAAAAGAAATGATTTAAACGAAATCACTCCTAGCTGAGAACCACTGCTCTGATCCCATGAATGCTAACAGATCCTACCACAGGAAAAGTTAGCAAACCATAAAATGGGTACAATTCACTACCTTAAATGCCCACCAGTGGGGTGTGGTGAAGCAAACTAAAATGTATCCATCTGACAAGCCATTTGAAAGACTATTTTTAAAAAAGATTTTATTTATTTATTTGAGAGAGCGAGAGAGTTTGTGTGTGTGTGTGTGTGTGTGTGTAAGTGCGCACACACACGCACGCGGAAACAGGAGGAGAGAGAGGGACAAGTAAAGCTGAGCATGGGCCCAACACAGGGCTCTATCTCATGACCCTGAGATCATGACCTGAGCTATCAGGTCAATCAAGAGTTGGACACTTAACCAACTGAGCCACCCAGGTGCCCCTGAAAGACCATTTTTAAAATGATAAATCTTTGTGCAAATATCCATACTCAAAAACACCTTTGAGTGAAAAAATATCCAATATGAAGATGGAAGCAAAACAAGAATGTCTACATAACCTAAAAGCACATTAAAAAGGAAGAATATAAAACTTCATATGTCCATATCGCAGAGGATCAATTAAATATCTAATTAAGTGAAACAGCGAAATTACCAGTAAATCACTTCTTTTACTTAAACTTTTGTTAATATGTGGATGATTAACATACAAGGGAAATGTATGCTTCGTAATGATTTATACCAATTTTAATCAGATGTGATTACCTAAAATATTGTTTGAGCATTTTAGCCCACAGAGGAGAGAGTGCCCTCATGAAACAGATTCACATAAGGCTCCTCCTGCTCATGCCATTGGTCTTGGGTCAGAGCAAACAACCTTTCAGAGGAGGGACTGTCTCCACCATGCATTTCCTTACTTGCCAGAGGTAGGACCAGGCTTGGCCAGCTGCTTGATAGATCTTGTTAACCTGAACTTACCTCAGATTTCAGCATAGTGGTTTGAGGGTTGCCATTTGGAGTATAATGGGTTTCTGTGTAGGCTGGAGCAAAAAGGTGCCTGCAAAGAATAAACACAGACATTTGTCTCTTTAGATAATGGCCTCCACCATCCTGGAAACAGAAGCCAGTCATTAAATGATCAAGGAAGAACCACCCAAGCATCTCTGTGCAGAAGAAAATAAGCCACCATAAGGGCCTAAGGAACAAAAAAGAAAGGCAGGAGGAAGTTGATTAATTTTGTACTCAGTGGGCTCATCACTTAGTTTGGACACAGCCAGATGAAGTAAACAAAAGTAAAGCAGTGGTCGGAACTTTTTCTGGGTCCTAGGAATATACACATGCAAACACATACTCAAAATTTCCCAGGGTCTATGGCCTCTATTTTGTACCTACATTGGTAATGTTAGCACTGCATCCACCAACTTCCAGTATCAATATGCCAATTTTTCTTTAAGAGAAACCCTCTTTCCTGTTGCATATTTTGGTGAGATTATTAATCAAGGTGTCCTACCTGGCCCTGCCCAAGGGCGGCCCATGACCCAGGCTAAAGCCAATGGAATGACGTCACAAAAACCAAGCAGATGGGAGCAATTCATCTGTTCCTTTGTTCCAGCTGCATGGATTCCCGGCGCCACCTTTGCCTGCCTTTTCTGAGACCTACTAGTTCAGATTTTCTGAGACCTGGTAGCTCTGTGTGTTACCCTTACAATAAATTCTTCTTTTTTTTTCTTTTCTCTTCTAAAATTGGACATTGATTTCTCTCTTGCCACAGACCCCTTGAGGCTGAGGTTAAGAATCGCTCACCAACAGCAAGACAGCACCAAACAAGGTTCCTAGAACTTCTCTAAAAGTTAAAAGAAAAAAGAGCCAAGTGGATGTTTCAACTAGCTCAGCCATGTTAAAAGCAAAATGCATCTATAGAGAGTTGAGGTCCAGGGGCAAAAAGAAGAGAAACTGGGCAACTAACAAAAGAATTAAGTAGATCTATATGTACTAACTTGGAAAAAAAATGTCTAAAAATGGAGTTAGATTTAAAAAAAAAACTAAATAAATTTCAGGGAAAAATATTTTTTAAAAATCTCTTTTAATAAAAACTAGTAACAGTACACACCAATGTAGGCATTGAAAACAACTAGAGAGGGATCCCGGTGCGCAGCGGTTTGGCGCCTGCCTTTGGCCCAGGGCGTGATCCTGGAGATCCGGGATCGAATCCCACGTCAGGCTCCCGGTGCGTGGAGCCTGCTTCTCCCTCTGCCTATGTCTCTGCCTCTCTCTCTGTGTGTGTGACTATCATAGATAAATAAAAATTAAAATAAAATAAAATATTAAAAAAAAAGAAAACAACTAGAGAAGCGAGCGTCCACTGTTAATCGTGATTACCTCAGGAGACTGCGGATGTTCACAATATAAGTTGCATACTTCTGAAAATTGGTTGATTTAAAAAAAAATAATTACCGTGTATTTATTTTGAAAACTGAAAACCTAATTTGAAACTGCTTTTAAAAAGAAGAAAATAGAGACTGAGGCCAGCACAGGGGGAGACAAAGGAATCTGCAGAGACCACCCTGGTTTTGGAAGAGGTGATATTTCCCAGCAAGACAGGGTCAACTGAAGAGGGTCTCCAGAGCCACTTCCAGCTGTAAGTTCTGGAACTCCCGACTTTCAGATCTGCCCCCCCACTCCCAGAGTGCAGCCAGAGGTACATGTCATAATAATTGTCTCTTATACTATGTCAAGCTCTTCAACATCCAGGATTGGACAAGAAGAAAAGAAACTCAACAACAACAAAAAAAAAAGTAAAAATAAAGCAAAGTACAAAACCCCGTTTGTGTAGAGAAACTCTCACTCACATGGAAATTTTGGGTCCATAGCTCATTTGGCAGGTTCTGTCTCCCAGCCCTATGTCTTTCTCCTTAGCATCTAACAAGCCAAGGATCCAAGAAGGAGTCACCCATTTGTCTGAGGGAGATAAATGGTAAGCCCCCGGAGGACCAAGGCCAAGCGGTTTTGTTCAACAGTATCTACCAGTGCTTAACATTTATTTAATGAAAGAAGGACTTAAGTAGTTTTTGAATATGAGTGAATGAATGAATTGCCCAACATGAGGAGCTTGGAGCATGATCTGGAGTCTAAGAGAATGAAGTTTCAATTCCAGCTCTGACATCTACTGTCTCTATGGCCATGAGTGAGCTGCTTTACCTCTCTGAACTTTTGTTTCTACTTCTGTAAATGTGAGGATGATATGCCTACCTGATAGGGCTATATTAAGAGTATAAGGACAAAGTGCACAAACATAGCTTAACACCAGGCCTGGCACAGTGAGCTCATTGTCATTGTTTTCACCAGGGATTATGATGGAAGAATGCAGAAAAACAGTTGGAATCTACCTATTTCCCCCAACTCTCCCCAACCATGAATGCTCCAGCTTATCACTTGAGAGAGATGAAAAAGCAATTAGCTGATTCCTGCAGCCCCATTTCCTGGATCTGCTTTCACAGACAGCATTATGGACAACTAGTCATGGGTTCAGAGTTTAATGGTCTATCCCAGTGCCAGTGGGAGATCTGAATTTTCCCACAGGAAATGAGCTCCTGGCAAATACATTCTTAGCCTCTTTTTGAGTCTTAGGGGGTAAAAATCACTCATTCATTGACATTCAGATGCTCCAAGATGCTCTGATATGTTCCAGAGAACATTCCAGATTGAACCTTAGAGGTCTACATCCTTGGCAATCCCTGGCCATGTCTCCAGAAGGATAACCATCTTTCAGTAGTTTCTTATTCGGAGGATCTGACACCATCACCATAGGACTTTCAGAGCCTAGTGTTAAAGGGACTTTAGTAATAATTTAGCCAAATTCATTAGACTGTGGGCTCCCTGAGAGCAAGGGCACAGGTGTTTTGTTCAAGGCTTCTCTCCACCTCCCAGGACCTCCCGGGCTGGCAGTACATGTTTATTCTATGAATAATTGGATGAATGAATGAATGAATGAATGAACCTTCTACCTTGTGTAGGAATCTGCCAGATGGCCATTCAGTATTGGACATCTCCAGTGACAGGGAGCTTATGAGACCACCCACTCCATTTCGGAAGACATACAGTAGTAAGGGAACGTTCTTACATTGAGTCAAATCTAGCTCTCTGTAACTGGCACCCACTGGTCTCATTCTGTCTTCTGAATCAACCTGGAACAATCTGCTTCCTCTTCTAGCTAACTACCATTTCAGGACCAGCAGCATCAGCATCACCTAGGAATTAGTTAAACATATAGATTTTGGGCCTCATCCCAGATATATTGGGGCAGACAGAAACTCTGGGGTTGAGGCCTGATGGTTACCCATCGTAATAACTCTCTAAGTGATTTTGATGCAGAAACACCTAGACCACAAGGTCTTAGAATACTTTTAAAGTAGACCCACTTCAGAACATCAAAGTGTCCCTAAGCCCCCATCATCTTCCTGCCTCTACCACATCCTGGACCATTCTGAACATGAAAACCCAAAAAGTTCCATCAAAACAGTTCACACATATTTAAGTGTTAAACCATTTAACACACCTATGTACAACACACCTATGAGGTAGGTCCCAATCCTTTTCCCACTGTGTAGTTGAGGACACTGGAAACTCAGACATTTGACTTATCCAAATTCTCCCAGCACAATGTCAGGGCCAGGTTTCAGAACCCCGGCTGTTCGCCCTAACCATACTTTTTAAGTACTTTTCTGCTCTGTTTGTCTTAGAAAGTGGAAGCATCAAAATAAAGCACTTCCAGGAACCAGTAGTCCAAACCACAATTTGATGGTAATGATAGTGGCCTTGAGGACACATGGGATGTCACAAAAATGTCATGAGCTGTTAGATGTGCATATGTGCATATATGTTAGATGTGCAGAGAAAATATGGACAAGCAAGGCACATGGTAGGAGAAAGAGGATAAATCCATATGAACTTCAAAGCTGGTTTTTTAAACAACAACCCTTTCCCCAAATAGGGTTGTAGATGTTGGCCAGGAAGGTCCTTTTTTTTTTAGAAGCAAAAGGAAGGGTCATGTTTCATCATCACCATTCATGCAATTTTACTGGTAGACAAAAACCACTTTCAACTCCTTCCCACTGCCCAAGCCAGGCCCTTCTATGCCTGTGTGTCCGTGTGGTACCCTGGCAGTGCTCTCCGGACTCAGGGACAAGGCCACAGTGCCACTGAGCAGCCCAGCTTGGCCCACCCATCCCTTCTTTAGCCACATCTTGTTCTCATCTCCTCCCTGACAAGGGGCTGGCTCAGCAGATCAGCAGGAAGCCATCTCTCAGCACTGGAGCGTATTAGGATTTTCAGGAAACAAGTTGTGAGTGATGTGAGTCCAGGAAGAGAGGAAGACTGTCCAAGATTTCCCACCCCACCCCCTCCTTTTTCTGGCTTTGATGGAAAAGCAGTTTCTATGAAATGCTCCCTGGAGCCATACACACACCGCAGGCTCACAAGCCCACAGCAGGCAGAGACAGTAACCCAATGCTAACAGCAGCCAGCATGGAAATGCTCACACTGGGCAAAACCCAGGTCGCTCAGACCCCAAAGTCCTCCAGCAAAACCTGCATCTTCTGAATTCCACCTAGGAAAATAAGCTGCCCTCCAAATACTAGTCATAATCTTGATCTCCAGGGAAAGACAATAGAGTTGCCTGTGACTGCCTGGGCCCTGTGTGTACACGCACCTGGGGCCCCAAATGCACACAGCAGTCTGAAACAGCCCTGACCCCTTAGCCTAAGACGTGGTACATTCGAAACCAGAACGATCCTTTCACGGATTATTTACTATCAGATAAATTTCAAACGCCTCTCTAAACTTCAATCTCTAAAACTCCCTCTGGGGAGAGAAGCCAAAGAGCTCAAACAAATCTGCAAAACATCTTCTCTGAGCTCAGCCCTCCTTCCTCTGCTTTAGATAAGCAGCCAAGAGAAGACAAAGTGATAACAATTTCCTAACTACCTTGAAAAACAACCTATGTAGCTATGCTCAGCACAAGTCAACATTACTTAGCTCATCCCACAGAGGCTATTTTTA